TTTTCTTAAGTCTTATCCCAAATATTGCAATCCAACATCTTAATAAAAATCAGTTAGTTAAAAGAGCCAAGGTGGCACAGTGGTTAAGAGTGCACTACTGCAGCTACTTCAGCTGACTGCTAGTTCAGCAGATCAGCGGATCAAATCTCACCGGCTCAAGGTTGACTCAGCCTTCCATCCTTCCGAGGTGGGTAAAATGAGGACCCAGATTGTTAGGGGGCAATATGCTATTTAGTATACTGTCGATTGTTGTAAGCCGCCCAGAGTCCTCGGAGAATGGGCGGCATAGAAATATGAATAATAAAATAAAATAATAAATAAATATAACGATCTTTTCTCTTTGTATGATAATTATAAACCAAATTACTTCCTTAAATCTTATCTCTAATTTTCAATTACTTTGTCAAATATATATATTTGTATCTTAATCATTTCTACTTTCACCACAAACCAATTAATTCATAATACAATATCATTTCACCTTTTCTTTTTTGATTAGATTCCAAATATGCAATTAAAAATATTCCAATCCAATCCTAGATCAGGGGGTCAGCAACCTGTGGCTCTGGAGCCGCATGTGGCTCTTTCACCCCTCTGCTGCGGCTCCTTGTCACTCATAATATGTGTCACAACTGCATGCGATCTATTGAGCTTTTCAACCCCCGGTAGGCCAACCATGGATAAATCCAAGAAAAGAAAAGTTTCAGAAGAAAACAGAACATTTAATTCAACTACATATGCCAGTTTTGGGGCCGCTCAACAAACACTCAGGCATGGGAAGGGTTTTTGTGGCTCCTGGTGTTTTCTTTTCTGTGGGAAATAGGTCCAAATGGCTCTTTGAGTGTTTAAGGTTGCAGACCCCTGTCCTAGATCTTCAAATGTAGGTATTGCATTATGAAATGAAAAGCTATAAATCTGAACTATCAAACCTTTCAGTGCTTGTTTTGCAATCATTGGTAAAGGTAATAAAAAGAAAAACTTAAACTGAGAAAAGTTTTTATTCAATTAAAACTCAAATACTGGAATGAATAAATAATTGGTGGATGAGGTCACCCTTTTCTTCTCTTCCCTTCCATTTTTCCCGGCATTAAAAACTTCTCCAGACAGCTGAGTTTTCACCTACGTTCTCAAACTTGGCAACTTTTAAGATGTATGGACTTCAGCTCCCAGAATTCCCCAACACTGAATTTAATGTGTAGCGTAGAAATGTTCTGTTCTGAGCCAGATATAGTCCTCAAAGTATGACCAAAATTGAGCCCAACATTTCTGTTGCTAAGTGAGACATTTGTTCAGTGAGTTTCAACCTTTCTTGAAGAGTTGTTAAGTGAATCACAGTACCTGATAAGTTAGTCACCCGGTTGTTAAGGTCGCAAAAGGGGATCACGTGACCTTGGGATACAGCGACTGTCGTAACTAGTTGCCAAGTATCTGAATTTTGATCACCCGACCACGGAAATGCTGCAATGTTTGTTAAGTGTGAAAAAACGTCGAATGGTCACTAAATGAACGATTGTAAGGTGAGGACTAGCCGTATTCCCCAAGAGTTATATTTCCATTCTGCATCTAAGTATCTGACTCTACTTTGTAAATCTAACCCCGCAAACAGTCCTCGACTTACAACAGTTCATTTACTGACCGTTCTAAGTTACAACGGCACTGAAAAAAGTGACTTATTATCATTTTTCACACTTATGTCCGTTGCAGCCTCCCGCCCCCACCCCCCCGGTCACATGATCAAAGTCCAGATGCTTAGCAATTGGTTTATATTTATGATGGTTGCAATGTCCTCAGTGGTGGGGTTGAAGTAATTTAACAACCGGTTCTCTGCCCTAATGATTTCTTCCAACAACCAGTTTGCCAAACTGCTTAGAAAGTTAACAACCGGTTCTCCCGAAGTGGTGCGAACTGGCTGAATCCCACCACTGAATGTCCTGGGGTCACGTCAGAGGTGGTATTCAGCTGGTTCTGACCAGTTCACCCAAACCAGTAGCTGAATTTATGGTGGTATTCAGCCAGTTTGGACCAGTTCACTCGAACCAGTAGTGGAACTTATGGTGGGATTAAGCCGGTTCGGCTCGGTTCACCTGAACCTGTAGATGAATTTATGGTGATATTCAGCCGGTTCGGACCAGTTCACCCAAAATGGTAGTGGAATTTATGGTGGTATTCAGCCGGTTTGGACCGGTTCACCCGAACCGGGAGCGGAAATTGCAGGTGGGCCCGCCCATCTACCCCGGCTCTATGCCATCCTATTTAGGCACGTTTTTGAGGCCGGGCGCATGCACGGATGCACGCACTCACATTTGCGAACCGGTAGGGAAAGTAAGTGAATATCACCTCTGGGTCACGTGATCCCCTTCTGCGACCTTCTGATGAGGAAACTCAATGGGGGAAAGCCAGATTCGCTTAACAACTGCGTGACTAACCTCAGAACTGCAGTGCTTCGCTTAGCAACTGTGGCAAGAAAGGTCGTAAAACGGAGAAAAACTCACTTAACAAATCTCTCCCTTTAGCCACAGAAAATTTGGTCTCAATTGTGGCCATAAAGTGAAAACTACCTGTGTATACAGAAGGACAGGGTGGAGAAATCTGTAAAATCAAACTAGCAATTATTTAATGCAAGTTTTCCCCACGAAAAAGCCAGATTCCACTTCACGCCCGGAGGGAAATAGACGACTCCAGACACACCCAAGAGGCGTCTTAAGCAATTAAGGACAAGTCGAGACAGCTTCGATGCAACACAAGAACAGATCATTAATTTTGAACCCAGGTGAAGGAGCACCCGAGGGATTTTACGCGACGGAGGCTTGAATGCTTATTTGCACATTTTAACGAAAGGCACTCTTCTCCTCTTCCCGGCATCCCTCCTGCAACTGGTTTTAACTGGTTCTGTGGGAATACTCACTTAGCACCTGTCTGTGTGGGCCCGACGAAGCCTCGCTCTCGGGGCCGGGGAAAAAGACGACGGACATCTCTCCAGCGGGTTTTGGAGTTGTGGCCAGCGGTGCAGCTCCTGTGATGGAAGAAGAGGGGTAGGATTGAAAGAGAAACTTCTCAATGCACGCCCTTTTGTTAAAAAAAAACAATGATTTACTCAATTCAACAGGGTGGGAAATTGGCTAGGCGGCTCAGTGGCTAAGACGCTGAGCTTGCCGATCGGAAAGGTCGGCAGTTCGGCGGTTCGAATCCCTAGTACAGTGAGCAGGGGGTTGGACTAGACGACCTCCAAGGTCCCTCCCAACTCACGTTACTGTACTGCGCGAAACCTTCCCGAAGAATTCTGCGAAATCTCCCTTCTGAAGTCTGCAAAATTTCCCTTTCGCCCTGGGCAAATTGTCTTAAAGCAAAGGTAGAAATCCGAATTTTTTTCCCCTTACCGGTTCTGTGGGCGTGGCTTGGTGGGCATGGCAGGGGAAGGATATCTCTATTCCCACCCCACTCCTGGAGGAAGGATACTGCGAAATCCCCATTCCCTCCCCACATCTGGGGGAAGGTTATTGCAAAATCTCCATTCTCACCCCATTCCTGGAAGAAGGATACTGCGAAATCCCCATTCCCTCCCCACTCCTGGGGGAAGGTTATTGCAAAAATCTCCATTCCCACCCTACTCTGGGGCCAGCCAGAGATGGCATTAGCTGGTTCTCAAACTACTCAAAATTTCCGCTTCTTCTGGTTCGTCAGAACCTGTTAGAACCTGCTGGATTTCACCCCTGGTCTAAGGTGGCCTTGCCTCCTCTTCCCCTCCCCCTTTGCTGTGCCCACCGCCAAAAAAGGGTGCACTTTTTCTTTTAATGCTCAGACACCCTTCCCCCCCTCCCATTTATTTATTTATTTATTTATTGGTTCAATTTATATGCCGCCCTTCTCCGGAGACTCAGGGTGGCTTACAATGCATTAAGCAATATATATGCCGCCCTTCTCCGGAGACTCAGGGCGACTTACAATGCATTAAGCAATAGCCTTCATACTTTTTGTATATACCTGCTTAGTAGGGCTTTCGCCCCCTCCCCTGACTTTTATACAAAGTCAGTTTGTTGCCCCCACAATCCAGGTCCTCATTTTACCTACCTCGGAAGGATGGAAGGCTGAGTCAACCTTGAGCCTGGTGAGATTCGAACTTGCAATAATTGCAGGCAGCTGGCAACTTAAGTGCTACTTTAACAGCGCTTAGTCCACTGCACCACCCAGGCTCTTTGCCAACCTTGAGCCTGGTGAGATGTGAACTTGCAGTAATTGCAGGCAGCTGGTGCTACTTAACAGCACTTTAGTCTGCTGCGCCACCAAGGCTCTTAATTCTGTGTGATCCAGAAGCTGCTCTGATAAAAGAATAAAAATGCCCCTTTTGCTGATTGCAAATAGCCAGCTTTTTTTTTTTTTTTTTTTGCAAATGAATGCAAAAAAATTGCCCAAAAATTAAAAAGGAATCATATTTTCTCTTTACCCAAAGTCATCCTATCCTTCAGGGGGTGCTGTGCAGAGGCGAGTGGGACCCTTTCAAGACAAACTCCAATCCCGAATCTCTCTCCTTTTCCTGCCCATACATGTGTTTCTGTTTTGTACTGGCGGCGCCTATTTATATTTTAAGTCTATCTGGTGGGTGGGCTTTGCCCAAAACCCTGGGTTTTTTTTTTTTCCTCTCTCTCTTTCTTTCTTTTTCATCTCCCCCTCCCTTCACAGGAAGTAGTGCAAAACATTAAAGATTTCAAAAGCTTTGCTTTCCACCACCCCCTCTCCCCCCCAAAAAAAGCATCTTTTTTGGGGGGGAAGGGGGGGTCCCTTGGCTTTTGCATTTTGCAACTCCCCTACCTTTGCAATTTAATCCACGCTTGCAAATTGGCAAGAAGGTGAAACTTTGGTGACCTGTTTTTTATTTTTATTTTTTTTTTATTTGCAAGATTGACAGGAGGGAGTGGGGGGGTGCAGAGGCAAAAAAAAAAGACTTAAGGAGGGGGGTGAATTTAAAAAAAAACAAGAAGGAAAAAAAAAGGGGGGAAGGAAGGCGGATCCACGTGGTTTAATCGGAGACAGACAGAAGTCCCATTGTTCAAAATCAATAAAAAAAAAAGGAGGCAGACAGAGGAAACGGGGAAGGGTTTTTTTTTGAAAGGACGCTGCAGAGAGGGGGGGGTTTCCTCCTAATTCTCAACTTGCATTTGGAGGGATGTAATTTTGCAAAGAAGCCTCTCTTCTTTCTTTCTTTCTTTTTTTTTTCTTTCCTTCCTTCCTTCCTTCCAGAGAGGGCTGGCCCAAATAAAGCAGCCCACCCCCCCCTCCACAGAAGAGGTCTCCAGATCTTGCAAAGTTTGTTTCCATTTTTTTTTTCTTCTTCTCTTTCTCTCTCTCCCCCTTTGGGGTTTTTTTTTTTCTTTTTCTTTCTTTCTTTTTTTTGCAAAAGCAGAAAAAAGAAGAAGGCAGGTGCAAGGCGGATTTTTTTTTTGTCTCTTTTTTTCTTTAAGGCCAGGAAGGAGTCTTCGGGGGGGGGAGGGAGGGAGAGGGAAACAGACGGAGGAAGAGGAAGAGGAGGATATATTTGAGAATCTCGGGGCAAAAGGCCCAGCCCAACAAACAACAAAAAAACAAAAAAAGTCAAAAGAAGAGAAAGAGGAGGTGGGTTTGAAAAAGGAGAGGTGGGGGAAAAAAAAGAAAGAATGAAAAAGCGGAAGGAAAGAGGGTGGGGGGTGTAGAGAGAAGAAGGGGAGGGGGGGGGTCGTGGAGAATTGTTTTTGCATTTGGCGGAAAAAAAAAAAGTCCCCACCGGGAGGAGAAAACAAAAAAAAAAAACCAAAAAAAAGAAGAAGAAGGTGGGTGATCCGCGCTTTGTGCAAAATTTACCTTTTTGCAATTCCTCTTGCTTTTTTTTGCAAAAAAGAGGCCTCCCCTATTTGGGGGGAAACGAGAAACGGGTGGATGGTGGGGGGGGGGAGGCTTCTAAAATGCCACCCCCACCCCAAAATGCGAGTTGGGGTGGGGGGGAAAAGGAGGAATCTCACCGGGTTGGAGGGGTTTTTTTTTTTTTTTGCATGCAAAAAAAAAAAATGCGGGGAGGGGGGATTTATATATATATATATATATATTGGCTGGGAAATCTCGCATTGTTCGGGGCACGGGGAGGCGAAGTGGGTTGCATTCACACCAAGACGCGTGTCCGGGCCGTGGGAGGAAGGGGTGGGGGGGGGAATGGATGGCGACTCGTCTTTGTTCAGCGGCTGGCTTGGTAGAGGGGTGGGTGGGGGTGGAAGGAGGAGGAGGAGGGTCCGGTGCCTTTTTCTTTTTTTTTAAACTTAAAAAACAAAAAAAACTCGCTGTAACTGCTGCTGCTTCTTCCTTCCTTCCTTCCCTGGTCGAAAAAAGTTTGCAATTCTGATTTTGAAGTTTTGCACAAAAAAATTATTATTATTATTATTATTCCCCCTTGCTTGTGCATGGAGGGATGAAGGCGGTTCGGGGCAGGTAATCTGAATTGTTGTGGTTTTTTGGGGTGGGGGGGGTGGAAAGAGAGAAAATTTAGGAGAAAAAGGCAGCAGAGAAGGGTTTGGAGAGAGGGAAGGGGGCTTCAGGGCAGAGAAAGAGAGAAAGGAGGAGACCCTACCCCTTCCTTTGAGAAAGCAGGGCTTCAAATCCTATGTTAAAATGGGGAGGGGGTGGTTTCCTTGGAGAGGGGCAAGGAGGGGAGGGGGGGTCTTTGGGGGGGAAGGAGGGGTCTGTTAGGGTCTCTGGAGGATGGGGAGGGGGGTCTTCTCCCCCAATATCTGCAGCCTGCACCCCATTTCCAAGTTGCAAAGTTTGGGCAGGGAGGAATGAACTTTTTTAAGGGTTCTCTTTTAAAGTGGGGAGCTCCCTTTAGGGGCCTGCTTTTCACCCCCCCACCTCAAAAAATACAGGGGGGGTAGAAATATCCCTGTTATGTATTATATATTCTATATATAATTATATATGTAATTAGATATGTAACATATTTATACATATGTTATATGTTATAGTTCTATATATAATTCTATATGTTACATATGTATACATATGTTATACGTTATTCTATATATAATTATGTTACATATTTAGACATGTTGTATGTTATATATTCTATATATAATTATATATGTACCATACATATGTTATAATTCTATATATAATATATGTTACATATTTATACATATGTTATATGTTATAATTCTATATATAATTCTATATGTTACATATGTATACATATGTTATACATTATTCTATATATAATTATATATGTTACATATTTATACATATGTTGTATGTTATATATTCTATATAATTATATATGTAATTATATATGTAACATACATATGTTATATGTTATACTATATATAATTCTATGTTACATATTTATACATATGTTATATGTTATTCTATATATAATTATATATTACATGTATACATATGTTGTATGTTATATATTCTATATATAATTATATATGTTATATATTTCATTGGCATCCTTCAGTCTCAAAGAGACTATGGTATGGGGCTCTGGAAAGAAGTCCTAAAATAGCATCTGGTGTGACTAAAAAGGCCAATTCGAGAGTGGCAATCCCTTTTATGTTTATATATTTATTTATATAAATGCAATTTATACTTTTATACATACCTTATATGTTATATGCCTGGGTTACAAAGGGAGGGGAGAGATGAGAGGCCTCACCTGGTGGCCTCCTTTCCTCTGGGGTGAGGGAGGGGCTCTGTGGCCCTCCTCCACACACACCCAGCCTCTAAACCTTGGTTTGGAGGGAAAATAAACCTGGGGAGGGGGGTGGGAATCTCAGTTTGTACTATTAAGATTTCTTTCCTCTAAAGATGGTTTTTCTGGGAGGGGGGCTAGACATGCATAAATATTGTTGCCCTTAAAAATGCAAATTTTCCTAATTAAATCCCTCATTTTTGATCCATGTTTCTGCCCCCTCCTCCCCCCCCCTTTTTTTTTAATCCATGGGGTTTCTCTCCAGGCCCCCAAACTGGGTTTCTAACTCTCGAGGAGCTCCTTTATGGGGGTCCCTTTAAAAACTAACCCTGATTAATTTATTCCTCTTTACTTTCTCCGACCCTCTCTTTTTTGGGGGGGGCTGCCCTTTCTTGGGGGGGACATGACAGTTTAGGGGGTGAAGCCCACCCAGATCGTGGCTGAATTGGGTAACTGAGTTCGTATCTTGGTTCAGCAGAGAGCCAGGATTTTAACCATAGCTAGTTCGACTTTGGTTGGAAGTTTCTTCGGCCCAAGCCAGCCAGGTTTCTAATCCTGGCTAGTTCCAGTTTGGTTTCCTTGGAGCAGGAAGGAAAATGGGGGTGTGGGTGGGTCGGGGGTCCCCCCCCCAGGACCCCCAATTGAATATGTTGGGTTTGTGAGGCGTGCTCAGCCCTCTCCCCCCATTAATCTTGGTTTCTCCCCCAACTAATCTTGGTTTCTCCCCAACTAATCTTGGTTTCTCTTTCATCTTGGCTTGTTGGGCTGAAAGTGGCCATCTTGGGGGGCTTTGGGCCTTGTCTGAGGAGGGGGCTGAAGACAAGACAAGCCTGTCTTTGCCCCCCCACAACTTTAGGGGTTTGGGGAGGGTCTCCCTGGGCCTCAGAGACTTGTGGAGAACCAAGGAAAAGCGTGGGAATTTATTTATTTTTTTTAAAAAAAAATTCTCCTTTTTTGTCTCGTATTTCTTTTTCTTTCCCCTTCTTGTCTCCCCCCCCTTCCCCCCCCCTTTTTTGCTTATTTCTTCTCCCATCCCTGTGAGGGGAGAATCATTATTAAATATCTGTATATTGTTTTATGAGGCCACGAGGGAGCTTTTTTCTTTTTTTTTCTTTCTTTCTTTCTGTCAGCTCTGCGAACTTCCTCATTTTTAAGGGAAAATGAGCAATTTATGAGCGGGGAAAAGGCTCAGATATTGTTTTCTTCCCTTGGTCTTGGGTCACTTTTGCCTTTATATTAGATTTTATGGATTGTCTTTTTATTTTGAGATCGTCGCCCGTCAGGTAGAGGGGGGGAAAAAATCCCCTCATTTGTCAGCTTTAAATTCATTTTTTTTTTAGCTGTGGGGAAAGGAAGAACATACCTGAGAGGGGGCACTTCTCGTTTCTACTTTCATTTTCGGCTGCTTTTTTTGTGTAAAAGTACTCCCATTTTAAGGATGAATGCAGGGCTTAATTTAAGCCACTTCAAGAGGTGGGGACTTCAACTCCCAGAGTTCCACAGCCAACATGGCTGACTAGGGAATCTTGGGAGTTGAAGTCCATACCTGTTTAAAAGTGGCCAGGTTTGACACACGCAGGTTAATTAGATTGATACTCCTCCTCCTCTGCGCCGCTGCTTAGGAACAAATTCAGCGGAATCTAATGGGTTTTTGTGATTTTAGGCACGCGCATCCAGGTATTTTCCACAAAACACAACATTGTGCCCTTAAGCCAATTTAAGGGAATAATAAAATACCTCTCTCTCTCTCTCTCTCTCTCACACACACACACACACACACACCCTTGTAAAAAGTGGTGTAAATGCTAAACCCGGAGCCTTGCAGCAGATACGAGGTTGTGGGAAGACACGACGATTGTCGTTTATCTTATTTTGAGAAACTTCGGGTGAATTTCCTCGCTGTTTCTCTGCATTCCTCTGGAGTTTTTTTTCGCACCTTTCTCCAAGAATGGCTGTTTTTCTGTGTTTTTCCCCTAATAATCTTTATTTTTTCTCTCTCTCTTTTCTTTTGTTTGCAGAAGATAGGTTACGAAAATGCCCCGGCGGAAGGCAGATGCAGCTAGTTCAGGGAACGGAACCGGGGCAGCCCGCAAACGGGCAAACACCGGCCGGGGGCCCCGCTGACCGCCAAGAAGAAGAACCGGAGTGGTGGGGGCAGCAGCAGCAGCAGCAGCAACAACGGGGGCGGGGGCAGCAGCGGAGAGGAGCAGGACGGGGTTGTGTTGCCCCTACTCTCGGCCCCTGGAGGAAGTAAGAAGGTGCCCCGGACCGGAGGGCGAGAACAGCAGAACCCTCCCGGCTTGCAGTCACCCCAGGCCGCCGTGGTGGTCAACGAGCCCGAACACACCAAGGAGCGCATTGTAAGGGGAGATCAGTCTTGCCTGTCTGGGAAATGGGTCTAAGGCAGTGATGGCTCTTTTTTTTTTTTTTATTTGATTTATATGCCGCCCTTCTCCGGAGACTCAGGGCGGTTTACAGTGCGTTAAGCAATAGCCTTCATACTTTTGTATATTTTATACAAAGTCAGCTTATTGTCCCCACAAACTGGGTCCTCATTTTACCTACCTTAGAAAGGATGGAAGGCTGAGCCTAGCAAGATTCGAACTTACTTTAATTGCAGACAGCTGGTGTTAAATTACAGTGCTTTAGTCTGCAGAGCTATCCAGGCTAACTTTTTTGCCGTCGTGTGCCAAAAGCGGGGGTTGCGTGGGGGGGGGTCGCGTGCATGTGTGCCCACACCTATAATTCAATGTGTCCTGCCCCCCACGCATGTACACATGACACCCCCCCACACACGCTCCCCATGCTTTTGGCATGCGATGGCACATTGGGCCTGGTAGGCCCGTTTTTCGCCCTCCCCAGGCTCCAGAGGCTTTCTAGGAGCCTGGGGAGGGCGAAAACGGCCCCCCCCCCCGGGAGGCACTCCGGATGCCAGAAACAGCCCATTTCCTGACTTGGTGGGCCGGAAGGGCCAAAAATCAGATGGCTGGCACGCTCATGCGCGCTGGAGCTGAGCTAAGGCAACGCTTGCGTGCCCACAGATATGGCTCCGTGTGCCATCTGTGGCATGTGTGCCATAGGTTCGCCATCACGGGTCTTAAGGGTTGTGAGTCTAAAGACGCAGCTGCACTTCATGGGAATGAACACAGACTCCGCTTACGGGCTAGACTGGAGGGGTCTTTCAGATGGGGAGAGTCGCCCACCTCCTTCTTCCTGCCATGTTGATGCCCTTCTATGCTGGGTGCGTTTCCCCCCCCCCCAATTTTTCTGCCTGCAATTTCTTTTTTCAGAGTGATAAGAAAAGGCAAAATATTTTCATCCGTTCGTTAAAAAGACCAAACTCACGAAAGGAATCTGTTCGTCGCCACGCACAGAAAAAAATTAAAAAGTTCTCCAGAGCAGAGTACAGACTGAAATGCAGGACTAGTTAGCTAGAGCATTTTGTTGGCAAGTTTTAGTTTTGTGTGTGTGCGTGCGTGCAAGCGTTAGCTTTTTTATTTAATGCAAGAATGCTGCAGTCATTTAATTTTTACCCATACTGCAAATGCATTCAGTTCATAAGATTTGGGAACCTCTTGCCCTCTTCTGGATCTCACCCCTCTTGTTTTTTTTCCCTGGTTGAAAAGTTGTGTGAACGCAGAAATTTTGCACTGGTGTCTTAGGCCCCCCCCCCCTCCAATTTCTGTGTTTCACTAGTAAGTTTTCCACAAGTTAAAAACTCATAAAATAGCTATCCATGTTTCCTTTTTTATTTCTACTTGGGAAACCATTTCTGGACTTCATGCTTGAGGTGGGGGAAAAAATGAAACTCTGATTTTGGGGTTTACCAATTGGATAGAATCGTTGTTATAGAAATGGCTAGTTTCTGTTACTTTGAAAAAGTAAAATGTTGAGGGTAGATGTTAATGCTTTATTTTACTACTACACAGGAGTTGGAAGTCAATGCCTTTTTTTCCCCCTTTTTCCCTTGCTTTCCCCACTATCCACTTCTCTTTTTCCTTTCCTAATTTCCCTGATACTTGCTTTTGTATTCTTTCTGTATGTCGTATTGTAAATTAATAAAACTAGAAAAAAACATGTTGGGGAAAAAAATAGCTATCCATGTTTCCTTTTTTTATTTCTACTTGGGAAACCACTTCTGGACTTTGTGCCTGAGGTGGGAAAAAAATGAAACTTTGATTTTGGGTTTTACCGATTGGATAGATTTGTTGTTATAGAAATGGCTAGTTTCTCTTATTATTAAAAAGTTGAGGGTAGATTTTAATGCCTTATTTTACTACTACAAAGGAGTCGGAAGTCAATGCCTTATTTTTTTTCTTTTTCCCTTGCTTTCCCCCACTATCCACTTCCCTTTTTCCTTTCCTAATTTCCCTGATATTTGCTTTTGTATTCTTTCTGCTAGGGATTTCGACCCATGTTTTGTTAGCTGTCCGCTTTAATTCTTGATTCTTCTGGTTCTCGGGACTTGACACAGCTCACATCTAAAATCAAAACTTTTGTTTTTCTTCCTTTTCAGAAACTGGAAGGTTCAAAGTGTAGGGGACAGCTTTTGATATTTGGAGCCACCAATTGGGACTTGATTGGCCGGAAAGAAGTCCCAAAACAGCAAGGTAAGTAAAGCTTTAATCATTTCTGGATTAAGTGGTCTGAGGATGTGATTGTCCTGCGTGGAAACACAACAGTGGTGGAATTCAAACTTTTTTACTACCAGTTCTGTGGGCGTGGCTTAGTGGGGGTGGTGTGGCTTGGGCGTGGCAGGGGAAGGATACTGCAAAATCCCCATTCCCTCCCCACTCCTGGGGCCAGCCAGAGGTGGTATTTGCCGGTTCTCTGAACTACTCAAAATGTCCGCTACCGGTTCGTCAGAACCTGCTGAATTTCACCCCTGAAACACAATTGAAGGAGGCCACTGTTCCAGCCAGCTGTGGCTGTGGCCGATTGCTCTTATTTCTAAGAGAACATCTGTGACTGGATTCAGACAAGGGCGGCTGTTGTTGTTTTTAGGCTGGGTTTGTTTTAATGGGTTCCATTAAGACTTTTATTCCAGAATAAATATAAAGCACCCCTTTTTGGTAAGCTATGGGCGAGCCTGATGATGCTTTTTCCCCTGGAGCACTGCCTTCTTAAATAAACACACGGCAAGAACGCACAGGGAGCCACCCAGGAGAGAGACTAAAAATAAAATTAAATTAAAATCATTTTGGCCAGCTTAAATGATGGAGAGCTTGGGAAACCAAAAAGAGCAGTTCCTAATTCAGGATAAATGGTTGGAGTTTTTTTGCACCGGTTGAGCGAAAAGAGATGTAGAATTGTGGGGTTTATAATTTTTGGTTAGTGGCTGTATCCGAGGGAGGTGGGAGGTTTAGAAATAGGAAATTAGAATAGAAATAGAATAGAATAGAATAGAATAGAATAGAATAGAATAGAATAGAATGAATAGAATAGAATAGAATGAATAGAATTGAATTGAATTCTTTATTGGCCAAGTGTGATTGGACACAGAAGGAATTTGTCTTTGGTGCATACACTCTCAGTGTACATAGAAGACAAGATACATTTGTCAAGAATCATAAGGTACAACCCTTAATGATAGTCATAGGGTAGAAATAAGCAATCAAATCATACTAGGAAATAGACAGACAGACAGACAGACAGACAGATAGATAGATAGATGATGATGATATATGATGATAGATAGATAGATGATAGATAGATAGATAGATAGATAGATAGATAGATAGATAGATAGATAGAATGAATTCTTTATTGGCCAAGTGTGATTGGACATACAAGGAATTTGTCTTTGGTGCATAACTCCCAGTGTACATAAAGAAAGTTACATTTCATCAAGAATCATAAGGTACAACACTTAATGATAGTCATAGGGAACAAATAAGCAATCAAATCATATTAGGAAACAATCAATATAAATCGTAAAGATACCAGCAACAAGGTTACAGTAGAGTCATAAGTGGGAGGAGATGGGTGATGGGAACGATGAGAAGATTAATAGTAGTGCAGATTTAGTGAATAGTTTGACAGTGTTGAGGGGATTATTTGTTTAGCAGAGTGATGGCATTCAGGAAAAAAACTGTCCTTGTGTCTAGTTGTTCTGGTGTGCAGTGCTCTGTAGCGTCGTTTTGAGGGTAGGAGATGAAACAGTTTATGTCCAGGATGCGAGGGGTCTGTAAATATTTTCCCAGCCCTCTTTTTGACTTGTGCAGCATACAGGGCCTCAGTGGAAGGCCGGTTGGTAGCCATTGTTTCATAAATTTATAAATAATGAATTTACAAATAAATTCAAAATTCATTTATAAATAATGAATTTGTAAATAAATTCAAAATTCTCCACCGATCCAAGCATGCACATTTTCTGCACTTGAGGTTAGGGTTACAACTAAGAGACTAGTTGTAAGTTTTAATATTTTGGGTAGAGGACATATTAAACTCACTAGTCCCTTAGTTGGGTCAGTCCAAGCACAACTTGCCATCTTAATAATGCAGATAGTCCTTGATTTATGACCACAATGGAGCCCAAAATTTACGCTTATGAGTTTTTGCCCCGTTTTACGACATTTCTTGCCACGGCTGTTAAGTGAATCACTGAAGTTCTTAAGTTAGTATTGGGCTTCCCCCATTGGCTTTGCTGGCCAGAAGGCCGCAAAAGGGGATTTAAATGACCCCGAGACACTGCAACCGTCATAAATATGAGTCAGTTGCCAAGTTGATCCTGTGGCCATGGGCTGCAATGATTGTAAGTGTGAAAAATGGTCGTAAATCATTTTTCTTAAGTGCTGTTGTAACGGTCACTAAATGAACTGTTGAAACTCAAGGACTATCTGTTCGCTTAGCAACCTTTGGAAGTTACAGTGACACTGAAAAAAAGTTATTTATAACCAATCTTCGCCCTTAAGACCGTCGCAGCATCCCCGTGGTCACAGGATCAAAATTTGGCATCTGATACTATTAACAAAGGTTGCGGCATCTTGGATTAGAATAGAACAGGGGTCAGCAACCTGCGGCTCTGGAGCCGCATGTGGCTCTTTTACCCCTCTGCTGTGTCTCCCTGTCGCTCAAAATATGCGTCACAACCGCCAATGTGCGACACCCACCAGCACACGATTTATTGAGCTTTTCAACCCCCGGTAGGCCAACCATGGATAAATCCAAGAAAAGAAAAGTTTCAGAAGAAAACAGAATGTTTAATTCAACTACATATGCTAGTTTTATGGCCGCTCAAGAATAGTCAGGACATGGGAAGGGTTTTGTGGCTCCCGTTGTTTTTTTTTCTGTGGGAAACAAGTCCAAATAGCTCTTTGAGTGTTTAAGATTGCAGACCCCTGGAATAGAATAACAGAGTCGGAAGGGACCTTGGAGGTCTTCTAGTCCAACCCGCTGCTTAGGCAGGAAACCCTACACCACTTCAGACAAATGGTTATCCAACATCTTCTTAAAAACTTCCAGTGTTGGAGCAACCACAACTTCTGGTGGCAAGTTGTTCCACTGATCAATTGTTCTCACTGTCAGGAAATTCCTCCTTAGTTCTAAGTTGCTTCTCTCCTTGATTAGTTTCCACCCATGGATTCTTGGGATTCACATGATTGTGACCTTCCCAGCTGGCTTCCCAAAAGCAAAGTCAGTAGGGGCAGCCAGATTTGCTTAAAGACCACATGATTCACTATTTAACAACCAGGACCAAAAAAAAAAAAAGTTCATAAAAATAGGCATGACTCGTTTAACAACTGACTTGCTTAGGGACGGAAATTCTGCTCCCAATTGTCCTAAATCGAGGATTAACTGTAACTCATTGAATTTGTTATCGAAAGTCAGTCTTTGTGAGAAGTAGCCAGAGTGGAACAACACACTGTAATTTTCAATAAAACGACCTATTTTATTTCTGTGCATGTTCTAATTTCAATAGAACAGAATAAGAGTTAGAAGCAGAATTAGAATAAGAACAGAATAAGAATAGAGTAATGAATTTTTTATTGGCCAAGTGCGATTGGACACCCAAGGAATTTGTCTCGTATACATAAACTCATAGTGTACATATAAATTAGCAATCATTAGTTACAAACAATTGATAAATCATAAGAAACCAATAGGAGAGGTTAGTAGGAAAGATAAGAAATGAGATATTGCTGTGGAAATTAAGTGTTTAGTAGAGATGGCACGGGGAAAAACTATGTCTGGTTGTTTTGGCATGCAATGCCCTACAGCCATGATGGCGAACCTATGGCACACATGTCAGAAGTGGCACGCAGAGCCATCTCTCCGTGCACACTAACCGTCGTCTGTTGCTCTTCCGGGTTTCAGCGCACGCATCATACCAGTCAGCTGGTCTTCATGGGAGCATCAGAAACTGGAAGAGCAGCTCCCTGGCGTTCATCTGTGTGCCGGGAAGCTGAGCTTCTGGTTTCCGGCGCGGACATGTGCAGCAGCCAGCTGGTCTTTGTGCTCGCATGCGTGCCGGAAACTGGAAGCGTGCCGGAAACCAGAAACTCAGCTTCCTGGCATGCGCATGCGTGCCGGGGAACTGCTCTTCCGGTTTCCGGCACCCCCTCTCGTGCGTGTGTTACAGTTTCGGCACTCGGTGCCAAAAAGGTTCGCCAACACTGCCCTACAGCGTCGTCTTGAGGGAAGGAGTTGAAACCAGTTTATGTCCAGGATGGGAGGGGTCTGTAGATATTATCTCAGCCCTCTTTCTGACCCGTGCAGTATACAGGTCCTCCATGGAAGGCAGGTTGGTAGCCATTGTTTTTTCTGCAGTCCTAACGAACCGTTGGAAGCCTCTACCCTGCCCTGTCTGGTTGCTGTGTCAAACAGGACAGTTACTGAGATACAAATACCGTTATGGGGTCCTTTACGGAGAGTCCAGCAGCTCAAGGCTCAGTTTGTAAAATCTCTTTTCGGGGTTCACCGTCAAAGGCTCCGAGAATGTCTCCGAAGTCGTTGCTCGCATCCCACAACTTTTCTTATCTCAGGGTTGACGTCGCAGTCTCCAAGCCAGACTGAGTCTCTTTTTGTTTTGCTGTCTGGCTTTAAAGACATCTGAGCTCGGCCTGTAATCTTCAGCAAGAGAGCCCAGCCAGAGGGGGCAGAATCCGGCTGGCACAGGGCGAAGAGGCACAATAGACGGGCATGTAAAATGCATGAGCCGACTTCAAGGCTTCCAGCATCTGGTTCTTTCCTGCTGAGAACCCAGGAAAGTTCATTTCTAGGACTTCCTAGGAATAAATGCAAATTCAAAGGAGATTCCGTAATGCAGACGGGGGGAAATTTTAATCCAAAGCTTTTATTTTTCTGCTTTACAAATTTTGCGTGTTCACTTTTTATTGGTTTGCTGCTCATTTTTCCAAGCAACAAAAGAGAACCTTAATTGGCTGACATTTTGAGTCTTCTTTAAAATAAATTTAAATATAAAGAAGAACGTAAGTCTGAATTACGAACAGCCACCCAGAAAGCATTTTCAGCAACAAAGGAAGACCTCCCAGCAGCCTTTTTCAAAAAAAAAAAAAAATGCTGCAGGCCACAAAGTGGGGTTCATGCACCTGTTTCCTTATGTTATTTTATTTTACTTTTTTTTCTAATTTTCCTTTATTTTCTATGTTTGGCAGCAATTCTCTGGGACCATACAATCCATTCAGCCAGTGGTGGGATTCAAGTAATTTAACAACCGGTTCTCTGCCCTAATGATTTCTTCCAACAACCAGTTTGCCAAACTGCTCAGAAAGTTAACAACCGGTTCTCCCGATAGTGGTGCGAACCGGCTGAATCCCACCACTGCATTCAGCCATGCAAGAAACAAATTGTGGTTAAAACGTTCCAGCTTAACAAGTTGCATGAAAGCATCCCAGCTTATTTAAAAGGCTGGAATTTTTTTTAAAAAAAAAATGTTCGTATTTCATTGTATTCATACCAGGGTGGATTTGATTTAAATCGGGTTGATTTAAATCACAATTTAAATCATGATTTAAATCACTAGTAAAAAGGCTTGATTTAAATCAACTCGATTTAAATCATAATTTTTAAAGAGCAACTGTCATCACTGCTACTCCTTTGACCCACTGTTGACTCACCGATAGTCCCAGGGTTGCAGAATATACAGCCTCATGCTACATAACTAAGCTCCATTTCATGCTGAATAAACTAAATTATTTATGTATCTTTAAATAGAAAACTATCTTATGATAGATTTTTACCCCAAAAGATTTTTATTAAAAAAAAATCCGATTTAAATCAAAAAAATCCGATTTAAATCAAAAAAAATCTGATTTTTTTGATTTTTTTTTTAAAAAAATCATTGATTTTTATCCACCCTGATTCATATATTGGGGTGGGGTCTGGTATGATTTATCTTGCTTTTCTGATTGTTTCAGTTCAGGCTATCTGTGCGGTTGTCTGTTTTAATCATTTATATAGTTTTTTGGTTGTATATGCTGCCCGGAGTCCATTAGAATTGGGTGGCTATACCAAATTCGAATTAACCATAATGAATCTTTTGCAGCTGCTTATCGCAACCTTGGCCAAAACCTGTGGGGGCCGCACAGGTACGGATGCCTCTCGGGAATCCAAGTCCGGACAGTAATTTCGGGCCCGTGTGCCGCTCACAACCTCTTCATCACTGTGGAAGGGAAGCTGTGGAGCTGGGGTGAGTTTCTATTGCTTCGTTTTTGTGTCTCTTAGTTGGGAGTTTGGGTTTATCGAGATCTCAGTGGAAAAATGCACTGAGCACACACACAAACGGTGTATTTCCCTGTGTGTTTTGCCAGGGCGCAACGACAAAGGACAGCTGGGCCATGGAGATACCAAGCGAGTCGACGCCCCTAAGCCTATAGAGGTACTCAGCAGCGACACAGTTGTATCAGCCGCTTGTGGGCGCAACCACACACTGGCCCTCACAGGTATTGGAGCCTTGGGTTGTGTCTCTGTGCCTTTCTTTCCTTTTTCTTATAAAGTTCTGCCAAGGTATTTTAGAACAGTGTTTTTCAACCTTGGTCGCTTTAAGAGGTGTCGACTTCAACTCCCAGAATTCCCCAGCCAGCTATGAATTCTGGGAGTTGAAGTCCAGACTGTTGTGGTCCGCCAGCAGCCTGTGGAGCTAGCAGCGGAGTCGGACAGTGAGGAGGCTGGGGAGGACCATGGGCCTGTCCTGGAGTCTGGGGAAGGCCCGGACGAGGGCTCTGCGTCAGAGGCAGCCAGGGCCATCTGGGAGCGATGCGTGAACTCCGGAGCCCCCAGAGTCGGACGGCAGAGAGGCAGAGGAACAGGAAGAGCCTGTTCCTAGTGCACGCATGCGCAGAGCTGCCATAAGGCAAGAGCAGCTAAAGCAAAAAGGACGACTCGGGAGTAAGGCCAGGAGATGATTGGCCCCTCCCATAAGGCTTAAAAGAGCAGCAAAGGCTGTTGGGCTCTTTGTAGGAAAGCAACGTTGCTAAATCTGTTTTCCAGTCAGCATCTCTTGTTTCTGAACTTCGTGGGGCTTTGCCAAGAAAGGCCTTTGGCAGGGTGCCAAAGAAGATAAAGGTTTGTGGTAAGCTGAAGGACTTTTTCTGAAGGATTTGTTTTGGAATTAATTTGGACTAAGCTGGGAATGAAGTAATTCTCAGCTGTTATAATAAAACAGTTTTATTTGGGACCAATTGTGTCCTGTAATGATTAAGTGAGCCTGGGTCATAACACAGCCATTTATTTTTATTTTTTTTGCTGGAAATCAGGATTTACTTCCAGTTGCCAGCAAAAATAGCCCTATGGCAAGAATGGGTTTGTTTAACAGCTGCCCCAGAAGTCATAAAATTGGGCAAGATTACGTGGTGACTTGCTTAGTGACTTTCATGACTTATGACCAAATTGTGGTTGCAAGTTGAGAAGTATCTGCATTAAGCTGCATTCAAGCTGGTTTTGACTGAGGGAGTTAAGGGTCTTTTTTTAAATCTTTTCCTTCTAGAGAATGGATCTGTTTTTGCTTTCGGAGAGAACAAGATGGGGCAGCTTGGATTGGGGAACCAGACCGACGCCATTCCTAGTCCTACGCAGGTACAAGAAGCAGGCTCCAAAATGCAACATTGGCTAAGATGTTCCTAATTCAAGTTTTTCTCCTGTTTCCCATTTCTCACTGCCTGAACTACTACCTCCCTCAACTGGAAACATTCATGTTCCAGCTTCTCTTCCAAAAACTTTTAAGATCCAATTTTATAATCCCTTGGTAAGGCCACACTTGGAATACTGCATTCAGTTTGGGTCGCCATGACGTAAAAAAGATGTGGAGACTCTAGAAAAGAGTGCAGAGAAGAGCAACAAAGATCATTAGGGGACTGGAGGCTAAAACATGTGAAGAACGGTTGCAGGAGCTGAGTATGTCTAGTTTAATGAAAAGAAGGACTCGGGGAGACATGATAGCAGTCTTCCAATATCTCAGGGGTTGCCACAAAGAAGAGGGAGCAAAACTATTCTCCAAAGAACCTGAGGGCAGGACAAGAAGCAATGGGTGGAAACTCATCAAGGAGAGAAGCAACTTAGAACTAAGGAGAAATTTCCTGACAGTTAGAACAATTAATCAGTGGAACAACTTGCCACCAGAAGTTGTGAATGCTCCAACACCGGAAGTTTTTAAGAAGACGTTGGATAACCATTTGTCTGAAGTGGTGTAGGATTTCCTGCCTAGATGGGGTTGGACTAGAAGACCTCCAAGGTCCCTTCCAACTCTGTTTATTCTATTCTATTCTAATTTGCCAAAGAGATGTGTATTAAAAAGCAAACTTTAGACAGGCTTGCGCTAATAGCAGTCTGAAGTGACTGCTTGGAGAAATAGAGAAATGTGTTTTTCGGTATTTCCTTAAACCTTTTTTGTGTGTGTGTCTGTTTCTGTGTGTGTGTTTGCTTTCTTTTAGATCATGTACAACGGCCAGCCGATTACCAAAGTGGCTTGCGGGGCAGAGTTTAGCATGATTATGGATTGCAAAGGGAATCTTTACTCGTTCGGTTGTCCTGAGTACGGACAGCTAGGTAGGAATCTCTACAGCCTTGGATGTCTTTGGGGAGCGCGAGAGTTTGAAGGACGCTCCTTAGATTCAAACTTTCTGCCCCACAACAGGGCACAACTCCGACGGGAAATTCATCGCCAGAGCCCAGAGGATAGAATATGACTGCGAACTCGTTCCCCGTCGCATCGCCATCTTTCTTGAGAAGACCAAAGATGGACAGATCCTACCGGTCCCGAACATCGTCGTGAGGGATGTGGCGTGCGGTGCAAATCACACGGTAAGAGATTTAGTTCTCTCTGTGGTTTTGACTTCAGCGACAAAACTTTGGCTGCAAAAAACCAGGGGAGCCACAGAAGATAACCGAAAGTGGGTCGGTGTGCTAACTTCTAAACAGTTTCCTTGGTGGTTTAAGTATCACAGCAGGTTGGAGTGGATGAGGAAGAAAACTTTGAAACGTTTCTCTGTTGTTTTCAATGCTAAAGGGGGAAAACACCTTGTTTAAATGTTGCCGGTTAATAGGATCTGGCTGGAATGGCATTCTTGCCTCAAAACGGACGTTTCAAAATGAAGAATAGAGGCTAGAAGGAATTGTTTTGAGGCCAAAATCTGGAACCTTGTCAGAAAGTTCAGAGTTGAAGAACATTTCAACTCCTCCTCCTCCTCCTCCTCCTCCTCTTCTTTTTCTTCTTCTTCTTCTTCTTCTTCTTCTTCTTCTTCTTCTTCTTCTTCTTCTTCTTCTTCTTCTTCTTCTTCTTCTTCTTCTTCTTCTTCTTCTTCTTCTTCTTCTTCTTCTTCTTCTTCTTCTTCTTCATCTTCTCCTCCTCCTCCTCCACCTCCCCTTTCTCCTCCTCCTATCCTTCTTTCCTTTTCCTCCTCTATCACCTCGCCTCCTTCTCTTCAATCTAGATTTTAATTCACAACCTCCTGCCATTCTCCAGCTCATCCTGGACTCGCAGAAACGTGTTTTCTCCTGGGGGTTTGGCGGTTATGGCCGATTAGGACACGCAGAGCAGCGGGATGAGATGGTGCCACGGTTAGTGAAGCTTTTCGACTTCCCCGGCCGTGGGGCTGCACAGATCTACGCAGGTTACACCTGCTCTTTTGCAGTCAGCGAAACGGGTAAGCTCAGTCTTGGAATCGGTCAACTCTTCGAATAATTAAAAAAAAAAGCATTATTTTTGAAAGCTCCTGCTGTCAATATATATCACAAGGAAGTGTAGAACTGCTCGTGAGAACTGCTGCCTGTTTTAATATTACGGTTTCCAGTTAATGCAATTCAGTTCGCTCTCCTGCTAACGGAGAAAATCAGAATGTGGACATGTCTTCAGATTTGCACAACGCCTGTCTGCTAATAGCCTCACAGAGAGCAGGCGTCCTTGTAAACAATGCACAATAGCAGCACAATTTCCACCCCTTTGTGCCTGCTGCAGGAGGCCTGTTTTTCTGGGGAGCGACGAACACTTCCCGAGAGTCAACAATGTACCCCAAAACTGTGCAGGATCTGTGTGGCTGGAAAATCCGTAGTTTGTCCTGTGGGTAAGGCAGCTATTTTATTCTTCTCCTCTGCTTTCCTTCGTTTTTCTCTTTAGTCCTAGAAGAAGAGCTTGTGTTCTGCAGGAGAATTCCTGTTCTGACCTAGGCTTCCTGAAACAGTAAAAAGCACACAATTAGTTCCAAAAACCCTCTTTTTATTTCAACGGCTGGGAATTCTGTTCATTCCCAGCCCGTGATGAGTCACAAATAGTTTGTAAAGAGTCCCAACAGAAGTCAGCCACAGTCCTTTGGGATAAGGCTGATAAGCACCTACCTTTATCTCCCTTGACACGCTGCCAAAGACGTAATTGACTATTAGCTTTGCAAGGCCACACGGAGCACAGAGTGAAAACGGAGCTTCAGAATTTTAAACCGACCAAAACGAACAAAGTTGCTTCCTGCAAAGGCTCATGTGCCTTTGCTCCTCCTTTATGTCTTATGGAAGAGGCCAATCATCTCCAAGCCTTACTCCCAAGTCGCCCCTTTTGTCTTAACTGTTCTTGCCTTCTAGCACCTCTACGCATGCGCGCACTGGGAACAGGCTCCCCGTTCCTCTGCCTCGATGATGTCCGACTCTGGAAGTTCTGGAGTCAGCACATAACTCCCAGATGGCCCTGGCCCCATCTCTGCCTCTGATGCAGAGCCCTTGTCCGAGCTTCCCCAGACTCCAGGGCTGGCCCATGTCCCTCCCCAGCTTCCTCAATGTCTGACTCTGCTGCCAGCTCCACAGGCTGCCAGCGGACCACAACAATTCCCGTGATCCAGCTGTTAATTGCTGGCTGGGGTTTTCTGGATGCTTTTGTTTAGAACCTCTGTAAGATGCCTTCTCTCCACTGTCTACATCTGCAGCTCTTCTACAGTAACTTTCTGCTTCATTTTCAGGAAGAGCAGCATCATAGTGGCAGCGGATGAGAGCACCATCAGCTGGGGGCCTTCTCCTACTTTTGGAGAGCTGGTAAGGGGCTGATTTTATTTAATAAATTTATTTGCCGCCCATCTCACAGCAACCACTCTGATGCGACAGCTTAGAAGGTTGCTTGGCAATTTTACTGGAAATGGGCCTGACTTAGAACCCAGCAAAGGGTTTTTCCTTTGTTTTCTCTATGAAGTTACCAGTTTCCCAACTTAGAAAGTGTGAAGACCAGAGGTGGGGTTTCAGCAGGTTCTGACCAGTTCTGGAGAACCAGTAGTGGAAATTTTGAGTAGTTCAGAGAACCGGTAGTAAAAATTCTGACTGGCCCCACCCCCATCTATTTTCTGCCTCCCGAGTCTCAGCTGATTGGGAGGAAATGGGGATTTTGCAGTAACCTTCCCCTGGAGTAGGGAGGGAATGGGGATTTTACAATATCCTGCCCCTGCCACACCCACCAAGCCATGCCCAGAAACTTGTGAATGAGATTTCACAGAACCAGGGCTGTAGAACATCTTAGCTTATGTAGGTAAAACCTGGCTAGAAAGAATATGCACATAAAAGCCTATGAAAAAGACACATTGTACCTTTACAGGGAGGATACCTGAGAAGAGGGTGTGGCTCACTGATGACGCCTTACAAGGCAGAAATAGCTATCTGAGTCTCCCAAAGAGCAGCACAGAGTTGCTGTTTGTCAGCAAGAAACAAAAAGCCCAGAAACTTGTGAATGAGATTTCACAGAACCAGGGCTGTAGAACATCTTAGCTTACGTAGGTAAAACCTGGCTAGAAAGAATATGCACACACACATATACATACATATACATATACATATATATATAGAATGTATACACACACGTATATATACACACATATACATATACTGTATATGCTCTCAGTGTACATGAGAATAAAATACATTCATCAAGAATAAAAAGATACAACAGTGATAGTCATAGGTTACTAATAAACAATCAAATCTTACTAGGAAACAAAAACAATATAATTGAAAGATACAAGCAACATGGTTATAGTAATAAGTGGGAAGAGATAGACACTAGTAAGGAAGAGAAGAATAATAGTAATACAGCCTTAGTAAATTATTTGACAGTGTTGAGGGAATTATTTGTTTAGCAGAATGATGGCGTTCGGGAAAAAACTGTCCTTGTGTCTAGTTGTTCTGGTGTGCAGTGCTCTATAGCGTCGTTTTGAGGGTAGGAGTTGAAACAATTTATGTCCAGGATTTGAGGGGTCTGTAGATATTTTCCCAGTCCTCTTTTTGACTCGTGCGGTATACAGGTCCTCAATGGAAGGCAGGTTGGTAGCCATTGTTTTTTCTGCAGTTCTAATGACCTTCTGAAGTCTGTGTCTGTCTTGTTGGGTTGCAGAGCCAAACCAGACAGTTATCTCTTGTTTTTTTCAGGGCTACGGAGATCACAAGCCGAAGTCATCAACTGCAGCTCAGGAGGTGAAAACGCTGGATGGGATTTACACAGAACAGGTAAACCGGCAGCTTACACAGAGATTAGGGTGTTTGTGAGTGGGTGGGTGGATGGAATGAAGGGAGGGGAGGAAGGGAAAGAAAGGAAGGAAGGAAAGAAGGAGAGGGAGGAAGGAAAAAAGAAAGGAAGGAAGGAAGGAATGAATCAGTGGGTGGGGGAGGGAGGGATAGATGGGTAGATGATAGATATAGACAGAGGGGATAGGTGTATGTATGTATGTATAGAAATAAATGGATAGTGGGGGTATGTGTAGCAGGGGGGAGAAGGGAATAGGAGGCGGGTTTGGTGGGAAGAAAAGGGGACAGGGAGTGCGAGAGGAGGAAGGAGGGTTTTCTGGGGGCGGGGAAAGCCAGAAGGGAAGGATAGGAAGGGATGCCTGGGGAAAAGGAGGCCTGAGAGGATAGGAAAAGAGGCTTAAGGGAGAAATGGAGAAAGAGGCCTAGGGAAAGGGAGAGGGAGTGAAGGCAATAAGGAGGATAAGAGAGGCTTCTGTGGGGCAACCCTGAGCGAAAGAAGGCGGATAGGATAGGAGAGGCTTCTATGGGGCAAGCCTGAGGGAAAGAAGAGGGATGGGATAGGAGAGGCTTCTATGGGGCAAGCCTGAGGGAAAGAAGGGGGAGAGGAGAGGAGAGGCGTCTCTGGGGCTAGCCTGAGGGAAAAAGGGGGGTGGGATAGGAGAGGCTTCTATGGGGCAAGCCTGAGGGAAAGAAGGGGGATAGGATAGGAGAGGCTTCTATGGGGCAAGCCTGAGGGAAAGAAGAGGGATGGGATAGGAGAGGCTTCTATGGGGCAAGCCTGAGGGAAAGAAGGGGGATGGGATAGGAGAGGCTTCTATGGGGCAAGCTTGAGGGAAAGAAGAGGGATGGGATAGGAGAGGCTTCTATGGGGCAAGCCTGAGGGAAAGAAGGGGGAGAGGAGAGGAGAGGCGTCTCTGGGGCTAGCCTGAGGGAGAAAAGGGGGGTGGGATAGGAGAGGCTTCTATGGGACTAGCCTGACGGAGAGGAGAGGAGAGGCTTCTGTGGGGCAAGCCTGAGAAATCCAGGAAGGAGCAGAGGCTGTGGAAGGAAAGTGCAGCAGGCAATTCAAGAGGGAAGGAGGGAGAGAGAGAGAGAGGGAGGGAGATAATTTAACGAGAGAGAGAAAGAGAGAGACTTTATATGTTAACATTGCATAGAGGAGATCAAAGAGTTCTTATAAACTAAGGCTAAACCTGTGTGGTGGTTTCTTTAATCAGCATACCTCTCAATCTCCTCCTCGCAAGTTGAGTGTATTCAAACTATAAAGAGCAGGGATATTGGCAGGACATTTTTATAGAATGTATAAACTCTCAGCCTCTGCATTCGGGGAGCTGCCTCCTAGCACAGGCATTGCCTTCGTTTAAGGGGCAAACATGACGATTGCACGAAGCTGTCGTGCGGATCGTTTTATGTGCGGCGTCGCTCACCCCGTGAAGGGAATTTAGGGTTTGGCGATCCAAGCAGCAATCCCGTCTCTTTTTTACAGGTAGCCATGGGCTACGCGCACTCCTTGGCGATTGCCCGCGACGAGAGCGAAGCCGAAAAGGAGAAAATCAAGAAATTGCCAGAATACAACCCACGCACCCTCTGACCCGGGCACGTGACTCTTCCCTCAACCAGGCGAGCTGCCGAATGCACCACGTTGGCGGTTGGCGAAGAGACCGCGGGCCCCTCCGTGCGTTTTGTTAGACTTCTGAGATTTCGGTTTTTATACGCCATTTGAAGTTTTATCTACCTGTTGCTAGGACTCTTCCGTGCCCTGCTCTCTCCACCCCATCCTTTTCCCCCAAGATGGCTTGTTTGTATTTTGTATTTCTTTTCTTTCTTTTTTTTTTTTTTTTTTGGTGGTGGTGGAGGATAAATTGAAGATGTCCATTCATCTCTTTTCGGTCACTATAGTCCGATGGAAACTTCCAGAGCATTTTGTCCATTTGTTCTTCCCCTCTTAAACCTACTTGGGACCAGTAAACCAGCATTGAAAGTTCTTTTTTTTTTTTCCTACTGCAAAGAGTGGCCTATGCTTTGTGTTTTGTCCCCAAAGAAAACGCTGTTTTTTTAAAAATTTCCATGCCTTTTTGTAATCTCCTTTGATGTGATTGGGCACCAGGCCTCTTGAGTTCAAGAGTTCCCACTGATTTAACGTCGAGCGATTGTGCCGCTGTGTTTCCGTGTTGCCACAGACGCTGATCGGCGTTGTGTTCCTTTGCGATGCAGAGCGTTGCTTTCTCGCAACCTGGTGTGGTTGGGCATCTGGGGGAAGAGGTTGGAGGGACTTGTAGGATGTTTTCCTTGAAAGTCGCAATTGTCCTGAGACGAGGAGGCTGGCCACAGGAGGGTGCTTCAAATCTGGTTTAAGAACAAGTAAAATGAATTTGTTGCCTTGAAACAAGCTGGAGGGAAGTTTCCCTCTCTTGGCGAAATTCTGATCCTAGTACTTAAGCTGGAAAAAAAAACCCTTCTCTTGTTTATCTTTTTCTCTTTATTGGTTGGTATCCACTTTGCTAGAAAGTGTAAATTTGGAGTTCCTCTTTCGAAAGAGGCATTTCTTTGGATCATTGAATGACAGCTGAGAGGTGGATTCTCAGACTGATGCATCAGTCCTCCTAAAACTTAGAATATTTTGAGTCTGGGGAGCAGCATTCCTGCAGACCTCTTTTCTTGAACCCCTAAAAGGCAACCACTCTATGAGAAAACTACATAAAGTTTCCCAGAAAAACAGGAGATGCATTCCGGGCCTTGTGGGAATTTAATTCGCAGCTGTCTTATTTCACCATTTGGTGTTTGTGGGATGGAAATTTTCTGCCTTGAAAGCTACACGCTGCTCTTTTTTAGGTTGGTTTATTATGAGGGACCAGGATACTTTTCCCTTTCACCATCATTGGCGTCCCTCGATGGGTTTGAGCCACCTTTTAACCTGCTAACTTTTGAGTTAGAACAATGAGCAATCAACTGAAGGGGAAAAAAATTAACGGAAACCCGCCACTGATGGGGAAAATTGGAAGGCAGCATCTGTTGACTTGATGCTAAATTTGCAGATGAGAAAAATCAGGAGGTTGAGACTCTCTTTGCACAGGTCTGTTTCAAAACATTTTCTCCTTTTCCTGTTTTGGTACGTTCAGCCACATTCGATACCTCCCTTTACTGTTTTATTCGTTTTGCCCGATGTTCCTTTTTTTCATTGGCTAAGTCATTCTAACCCATTATGAGGGACAGACAGACATTTTCCCCTTTCACCATCATTCTAAGGCAATGGGGGTTAATTTATTTGCCATGGGGGAGAGAGAAGAAAAAAAGGTACTTCCATTTTTCACCAAAGAAACGGCTGTTTTTGTGCTAAGTAAAAAGTTTTGCTTTGGAACTGGTTGGCCTGAAGGTTTGTGTTTAAAACTGCTGACTTTTTTTTTTCTTCACCAAGAAGAAGGGCTCAGCGGGACGAGAACCAATTAAAGTTAAATGAAATGGGGAAAAGAGTTTAGTCTAGTCTTGTCATTCTCTTTTGTTTTCCCCTTCACTTTTTTTTTTTATATATATTTCTCAAATGTTTAAATAAAATGATGGGTTTGTTTAGACTTTGCAGTCTTAATTTCTCCTTCTTTCTGTACTGTGCTAACAGCAGAGATGATCCTGCATTCATATCGGGACCTGTTGCCTAGCCAAATATTTTTAGAACAAATCTGCCATGCAAATTGTCCTTAAATTGTTAACTAATTGAACCCGTACAAGTTCAAGTAGTGCTTCGCTCCCACACTTCTTCCGGCCCTTGTTGGTGCTCAGCGCACCTCAGTCTCTCAGAGATGCTTGACTTTCAGCCCCAAGACACTGGCTGGCCCATGAGGTGAGAGAGAGAGAGAATGAGAAAGAGAGAATCAGAATGAGACAGAGAGAGAAAGAGGCAAAGAATGAAAGAGAGAATGAGAGAGAGAGAGAGAGAGAAAGAGAATTAGAATGAGACAGAGAGAAAGAGACAAAAAATGAAAGAGAATGAGAGAGAGAAAGAAAGAATGAGACAGAGAAAGAGACAACTGGTTGAAAGCAGGTCATGGAATAATCTGGAAAAACTAGCAGTCAACTCTAGGTTTCAGATCGTGGAGTCCAGTTCACCGCCAAATTCTGGAGAGAGTTTGTTAAATCAATTGGATCCTCCCAAGGGCTTAATTCAGCTTTTCATCTGAGTGCTAACGGGGCGGCAGAAATGGGTAAGTATGTAAGACAGCTTTTCTTCAAAATGATAAGTTGAAAATGACATACGTTATTAAGGAAGAATAGACAAAATAGTGGTCGGATATAAAACTGACAAGATGTTTCTGGAGGCATTAATAGAGTTTTAGGAAAATGAGGGTTGAGAAAAACTTAATCCCACCAAAAGGGATGAAGAATCTTCTGTTAGAACAGAAATGGCCGAGGAGCAGGGTGTGGAAATGTAAGACTTTTGAGTTGTCAGGGTTTTTTTTTACTTCTGTTGGAAGAGACAAGCCATCGTCCCAGTCAAATTGTAAACCCCCCCAAAGGAGGAGATTGAAGGAGGCATACTCTTACAAGGTCCAACTTTTTGGAGAATGTGCTACTTGCTTGCTTGGCAGTCCCTGAGCAATTTTATTGAGATATTTTTGAGTTGGGTTAAACTCTGGAGAACATCTGATATTGTAGTGCTCGCCACATGGGTCATCTCACCAAGACATGGAAAGAAGAGAGTAAGATCATCAAGGAGGTTGGGCGGAGATGTTGGAGATGGTTGACGTCACAGAAAGGTCAGTGAAAAGGACCCATCACAGGCCTTCTTGTACCTTAGGGAACAGAAGTCCAAAATTCTTTGGAGAGTCTCCGTATTTTCCATGTAGGTGTATTTTTTTTTTTAATTTGATTTATATGCTGCCCTTCTCTGGAGACACAGGGCGGCTTACAATGTACTAAGCAATAGCCTTCATACTTTTGTATATTTATACAAAGTCAGCTTATTGCCCCCACAAACCGGGTCCTCAATTTACCTACCTTAGAAAGGATGGAAGGCTGAGTCAACCTTGAGCCTGGTGAGATTCGAACTTACAGTAATTGCAGACAGCTGGTGTTAATCACAATGCTATTAGTCTGCTGAGCCACCAGGCCCTGTATTGACACTAATAGCACCTTCCCCTGTTTTTTTTACCTTTTTTCTAGCTATGTACAGGTAGTCCTCACTACAATTTGTTGTAGTGTTGAGCGAGACCTCTGTTAAGTGAGTTTTGCCCCATATTGCGACTTTTCTTGCTACCTTCACTAAGTGAATCCCAGCAGTCGTTCGATTAGTCACACGGTTGTTAAGTGAATCCGGATTCCCCATTTGCTTTGCTTGTCATGAGGTCACAAAAGGGGATCATGTGAGCCACCGGGACACTGCAACCGTCATAAATATGAATCAGTTGCCAATCCTCTGAATTTAGATCCCATGAACACGGGGATGCTGCAAAGGTCGTAATTCTGAAAAACGGTCGTGTCGCTTTTTTCAGTGCCATTGTAACTTTGGATGGTCACTAAGCGAACTGTTGTAAGTAGAGGACTACCTCACCTCTCATTCTGCCTTTATGACCATATAACGGTTGCATGGATTTTAAAAAATGGAACAGAATGCTTAAAAAGTTCTTCACAATTTATTCAAACAATTTGTAGATCCGTGAGAAAAGCCCCTGTGATTTTTTAAAAAATATAAAATAATTCAGCGGTGGTACGCATTCCATTTAAAAATTAATAGCCAAAGAAATATGGACTTGACGATCATCGTACCTTCATAATGCCTCTTGGCAAATCAAATGGTTTGAAATGATAGAAATTAACATGAAGCTAAAATATGGATTAATTACTCATCACTATTTTGATCTGTACACTTGGAAGGGCTGCCAGCCTTCACAACACATCTGGGGCCAATGGCCACATCTGGTACTTTTAGGTCAAAAACTTCCATCGTCCCAGTTCACAAGACCTTGGACCAACTTGTTTTTTTGGAAAATGTTCTACATCTGTTGGATATCTACCTTTAAAGAGTGTTGGTCATTTCTTGATTTGTGACAAAATCTAGGTGACTAAACCTGAGCCGATGAGGTTTGGTGAGGTGAGAGAAATAGCATTCTTTGAAGGACAAATGAACCTACTGGGGTTATGAAATGTCTCACTGATCTTCTATAACTAGTTTTAGAATTACTGTGCATGGATAAGGAGAAGGTTTAGAGCATCCTGCCTGAACATAGCTGCCCTCTGTTCTTTTCGGTGATTGGCGAACACAACTAAACATCTTGGCAAACTGATAACATTTAGAGATGAGAAAAGATACTGGAGAAAGCCTAAATCACAAGAGAAGCTTGCAAGCACCTTCATATAACCACCGAAAGAGGAATCACCCAGGATTTCTTGGACAGTTGATCGGATTTCCTGACGAAGTGCAGGAGAAGGTCTGTGTCATCATCTTGATTTGAGTGGAAAACAGAAGGCGTGATGAGGCCCTCAAGGCCTCATGTTCCACCACTTGAAGGAAAAGGGCTTCCGGAGGACATTTGTGCCACAATGAACATCGCCACTTAAGAGGTAGTAAGTTCCGTAGTCATCGATGAAATTGCAGGACAACCCTAAGGGCTCCAGGAGACGTCGGACCTCTTTCTCCAAGCAGCATTGGCCGTCAATGATGGGTCCAAACGGCTTTGGGATGCCCAGGTGTTTCCCCAGAACAATCATATTTACCTGCAGGAGGGACATAACCATTGGTCTAATAGGTTAGATTGCAATCAGTTCTCATGATTTTTGTACCCTAGTGAAATTCAGCGGCAAGGAGACCGATATGTTTTAACTGTCCACTTCTCCATCTACTTTTAAAGTCAAGACGGTTATGTCCTTAACAAGGGACAACTAATTAAGCTTTGATTTGCCATCTGTATCCCAGCACCTTCAGTGGGATTGTATGGCTTCACGTTAGAGCTTGTTCAGAAAAAAATGAACACAAGACACAGCACGGGATTCACCCAATATTTTGACCCAAAGAAACCTCTTAGTGCCGGGGGGATCCAACCTCTGGGCCACGTGGCCTCCTCTGAATTGGACCGCTCAAGTGGCTGGCTGGCTGGAGCGCACATGTGCGTATATGCAAAACTTGCACAAGTGATGGGCCAGTAGACGCATGCATGCACGCCAGCTTGCCACTCACGCAAGTAGAGTTGCACGTGTGTGTGCCAGCCCACCCCTTGCTCAAGGGTTGCATGTGTGCTGGCCCACCACTCAACATAGCCCAGTTCCCCTCTTCCCCCCCCCCCCCACAGCCAGGCCAGCAAGCCACAAAGGGTTGGCTGTCTTTAAGAGCTTCTTGTGATGTGTGAATCCAAGCAACACATCAAAAGTGCATTTTGCATTTTCTGTCCTTCACACCACCCTTGCCAGGAGAAGGGTTGGCAACCTGGAGGTCAAATCTGGTCCTCGGTGAGATGCCCTCTGCTTCTCCAAAGGACAACCAAAGTTGGATTAAGCTGAACCTTTGCTAGATCACTTCTTGGCTGGTTCTTCTCGAAACACATTTGGGACGGGAGTCTTACCATGTCTGGGAAATAAGCCTTAGCGGAAGCCCTGACCATTTGGGAACTGGAATTCTCAGGCACCTCCTGAGAAGAGTAAAAAAGCTGAGGTATCTCAATAATGTCTTCCTCTGTCAGGCCCAGCTCCTCCTTAAGGGTTTTTCTGTTCCCATCAATATACTTCTGAAAAGGGAAGAAAGAGAAGCTTTAGTGAAAAGGAAGGAGTAGGGAGAGGCCATACTTAATGTTTCAGTGCCCACAAAGTTGAGTTCAGTGAAACCATAACTTCAATGCAGATAGTCCTCTACTTACAATCACGATCGAGCCCAAAATGTATGCGGCTAAGTGAGAAATTTGTTAAATGAGTTTTGCCCCATTTTATGATTTTTCTTGCCACATTTATTAAGGGAATCACTGCGGTTAAGTTAGTCATGCGGTGGTTAAGTGGCTCCCATTGACTTTTCTTACTCTGAAGGTCGCAAAAGGGGATCATACGACTGAGGCACAGTACCCGTCCTAAAATGTGAGTCAGTTGTCAAGCCTCTGAATGTAAATCACATGAGCATGGGGATACTTCAAAAGTCATAAATGTGAAAAAATGCCTCTTTTTTTCAGTGCTGTTTTAACTTCAGACTGTCATTAAGCAAATTTGTAAGTCAAGGACTATCTATAATCCCTGGAAGCTTTAGAATTTGATTGGAAAGGTGGGGGTCCATCTTCATATATAACCTTCGCTTTAATGTTTTACTGACTAGATAGGGCCATCTGGGATTCACTTTTTGAGGTGTGTCTTTTTCCATCTTGCAGTATTCAGATGTGTTTGTGATTATTTATTTATTTATTTGAATTTGTCAAAAACGAGAACAAGAACAAGAATAAAAATACAATGACAGGGGCGATAGGCACGTTCCCTCTACTGACCGCTTAAGTATGAAGTAAGGTCCATGGAAGTCAATTTGTGACTGAAACTCTGAAAATTTGTAGCTGAGACAACTGGATCAGGTAGGGCAGGGGTCAGCAACCTGCGGCTCTGGAGCCGCATGTGGCTCTTTCACCTCTCTGCTGTGGCTCCCTGACACTCAAATATGCATCACAACCGCCAATGTGCGACACCTGCCGGCATGTGATTTATTGAGCTTTTCAACTCCCAGTAGGCCAACCATGGATAAATCCAAGAAAAGAAAAGTTTCAGAAGAAAACAGAACATTTAATTCGACTACATATGCTAGTTTTGTGGCCACTCAGGAAATAGTCAGGCACGGGAAAGGTTTTGTGGCTCCCGGTGTTTTCTTTTCTGTGGGAAATGGGTCCAAATGACTCTTTGAGTGTTTAAAGTTGCAGACCCCTGAGGTAGGGCATTCCAGACTTTGACAACAAATCATATTTTTTACAGTCAAGTTGAGAACAATTTACATTTGAGTTTAAAGCAGTTGTTAAGACGTGTATTATTGCAATTAAAAGAGAAGTAGTCATTTACAGGTAAAACATTACTACGTATAATTTTGTATGCAATACCTAGGTCTGACCACAAGTGGCGCAGTTCTAAATTATCCAAACCGAGAATTTTAAGCCTAGTAGCATAAGGAATTCTATTATTATTATTCTATATGCCCAACTCAACAGTAGGGTGCCTGATTGGGTAGCCTAGTAGAGGACTTCACAAACCACACACATCTATTTTCCCTCTTGTTTATCTATAGGGAGAGGAGATGAGCGGAGAATATTTTTTTATTGGCCAAGTGTGATTGGACACCCAAAGAATTTGTCTTCGGTGCATAAGATCTCAGTGTGCATAAAAGATATATGTGATAAATCATGATCATAGTCATAAATATATTCATCATGAATCAAGATACTTAGTGATAATGATAATGATAGGATACTAAATAAGCGATAATCATACTAAATAAGCAATCAAAATCATACTAGGAAACTAAATAATATAAATTGTAAAGATACAAGCAACAAGGTTATAGTCATAAGCAGAAAAAGAGATCGGTAATAGGAAGGATGAGAAGAATAATAGTAATACAGTCTTAGTAAATAGTTTGACAGTGTTGTGGGAATTAGTTGTTTAGCAGAGTGATGGCATGCGGGAATGTTCACAAGAAGATCCATGGCCTTTCCATCTCTTGCTAGGCCAGGGTCGAAATATTTCTTAGATTATCTTTCTTTAGATTATTCTTTGGACCATTTTTCTCTACCTAAATCCTCCCTTAAGAATTCAAAACCGTGTGAAAACCTATACTATAATTTGATAAGAATAAGCATCGAGGTTCTCTACTGCAACCATGCGACTTGTAAACATGGGAAATCTTCCCCTCTGATGAGGCCACCTTGAAGATGGTGTACCATGCTCCTCACCCCATATTTCCAGGTGGACTTTGATTATTACAACAGGTTCAGAGGAGGGAGACAATGATATAGTAGGGGTTGAGGACAGGCTGAAGGAACTTGGGATGTTCAGCCTGGGGAAAAGATGGAGGAGAGAGACACTGAACCTCAGGTACATAAAGGAGAGCTGGAGAGTAGATGAAGAAGCTTAGATGAGAAGCAAAACACTTTCAAGGAAAAAGAGAGTCCAGTTCAGAGGTGGGTTTCAGCAGGTTCTGACCAGTTCGGGAGAACCGGTAGCGGAAATTTTGAGTAGTTCGGAGAACCGGTAAATACCACCTATGACTGGCCCTGCCCCATCTATTCTCTGCCTCCCTAGTCCCAGCTGATGGGGAGGAAATGGGGATTTTGCAGTATCCTTCCCCTGGAGTGGGGAGGGAATGGGGATTTTACAGTATCCTTCCCCTGCCACACCCACAGAACCAGTAGTAAAAATTTTTGAAACCTATCACTGTTCGTTGCCTTTTGAAAAAGCCCCTTTGGGACAATCTATTGGTATATTGCAATTCTGAGCTCTTTCAGGGAGCTTCATTGAAGTTCTAACTCAATGGAGACCCTTTTTTGCTACCAGAGGAATTACAGAACAAGATGATCTACTTCCCATGTCCAGGACACAAAAACTTGAGATGCGGTTTCTTAAATTTGAGATTAAATATAAAGACTTTTTTTCCCAATGTAAGGTCTGTGGAACCATTTCTGGTGCTTTTTTTAAAAAGAAGCTGGACAGCCCCTTCTCGTAAATGGTTGGATTGGCAAGATAAGGTTGGACTGCTATAGTTAACCCTTGTCTCTGCATCCATCATATTTTCTATCACTGTCTCTTGCTAGATATCTGGAAATTTGGGGTCATCCAGGTCATGGTTGTCCCAAAGGTGCTTTTTTTTCCCCAAGAGGCAACTGGGCTCTCTGGTTTTCCTTTGAAGACGTTTCCCTTCTCCCCCAAGAAGCTTCTTTAGAGCTGAAGAAGCTTCTTGGGGGAGAAGGGAAACGTCTTCAAAAGAAAAACCAGAGAGCCCAGTTGCCTCTTGAAAAAGCACCTTTGTCTCTTACTAGCATCTGAACAAAACAATGAATAATCCCCTAGTCTTCTTCGTTGGATTACTCGGTCTCCAGATTTAATAGCAGAATAGATGGGCTCTTACTTGGCACTTATCGTTGTACTGCCGGAACAAACCGTCAGCAATAATTTCTGATATGGAGCAGAGCTTCCGCTCTTTCTGATCCTGGAATTTAAATCCTGTTCAGAAAAAAAAGGAAAATGATTTTGTTTTTGGTGCGCGTGTGTCTTTTAATCTCCAGGTGGAGGTCCAGTGCTTGGTGAGAAGGACTATTGCAACTATTCTATAATAAAAAGCCATTTATTTTAGTATCTTAGAGCAAAATTCTCCAACATGTCTGGCCTTGCGGGGAGTGGGGGGGGGATGGTTCTATGTGCCGGTAAATGCATGCACAGAATTGGAGACCCCTGGTTTAGAGCCTCACTTGTTCCCATTGGGGAGAAAAACCATCTTGGAAGAGAGAAAACACAATCCCTTTTAAAACGCAACCCAGCCCAAGGATTGACTTCATCCTTTTCATAAAATGGGGCCTGTTTGCAATATTTTTTTCCCTGTTACCTTTCATTTCAGTTCTGATCTCCTGCAGAGGAGATGATGAATTACCTTCAGGCATTTTGGCTTTCCGACCTTCACGCATTTTGGCTTTCCCGTGTCCTTCCTTTTCCTTCTCTTCCAGCAGTTTGAAGCAGGCTCTCGGGCTGGCCAGCAGCAGACGGAAACCCTGGAACGAGGGAGTAAGGCAGATAGGACAGAGAGAAGACTAGGAGCCTAAAAATTAGAATTTAGCAGCACAGAAACATCTCCTATCTTATCCCTTTCTCTCCCTCAGCCTTGCCCCACAGAAGCCTCCCCTATCTTCTCCCCTTCTCTCCCTCAGCCTTGCCCCACAGAAGCCTCCCCTATCCTCTCCCCTTCTCTCCCTCAGCCTTGCCCCACAGAAGCCTCCCCTATCTTATCCCCTTCTCTCCCTCAGCCTTGCCCCACAGAAGCCTCCCCTATCTTATCCCTTTCTCTCCCTCAGCCTTGCCCCACAGAAGCCTCCCCTATCTTATCCCCTTCTCTCCCTCAGCCTTGCCCCACAGAAGCCTCCCCTATCTTCTCCCTTTCTCTCCCTCAGCCTTGCCCCACAGAAGCCTCCCCTATCTTATCCCTTTCTCTCCCTCAGCCTTGCCCCACAGAAGCCTCCCCTATCTTATCCCTTTCTCTCCCTCAGCCTTGCCCCACAGAAGCCTCCCCTATCTTCTCCCTTTCTCTCCCTCAGCCTTGCCCCACAGAAGCCTCCCCTATCTTATCCCTTTCTCTCCCTCAGCCTTGCCCCACAGAAGCCTCCCCTATCTTCTCCCTTTCTCTCCCTCAGCCTTGCCCCACAGAAGCCTCCCCTATCTTATCCCTTTCTCTCCCTCAGCCTTGCCCCACAGAAGCCTCCCCTATCTTCTCCCTTTCTCTCCCTCAGCCTTGCCCCACAGAAGCCTCCCCTATCTTCTCTCTTTCTCTCCCTCAGCCTTGCCCCACAGAAGCCTCCCCTATCTTCTCCCTTTCTCTCCCTCAGCCTTGCCCCACAGAAGCCTCCCCTATCTTATCCCTTTCTCTCCCTCAGCCTTGCCCCACAGAAGCCTCCCCTATCTTCTCCCTTTCTCTCCCTCAGCCTTGCCCCACAGAAGCCTCCCCTATCTTCTCCCTTTCTCTCCCTCAGCCTTGCCCCACAGAAGCCTCCCCTATCTTATCCCTTTCTCTCCCTCAGCCTTGCCCCACAGAAGCCTCCCCTATCTTCTCCCTTTCTCTCCCTCAGCCTTGCCCCACAGAAGCCTCCCCTATCTTATCCCTTTCTCTCCCTCAGCCTTGCCCCACAGAAGCCTCCCCTATCTTCTCCCTTTCTCTCCCTCAGCCTTGCCCCACAGAAGCCTCCCCTATCTTATCCCTTTCTCTCCCTCAGCCTTGCCCCACAGAAGCCTCCCCTATCTTCTCCCTTTCTCTCCCTCAGCCTTGCCCCACAGAAGCCTCCCCTATCTTCTCCCCTTCTCTCCCTCAGCCTTGCCCCACAGAAGCCTCCCCTATCTTATCCCTTTCTCTCCCTCAGCCTTGCCCCACAGAAGCCTCCCCTATCTTCTCCCCTTCTCTCCCTCAGCCTTGCCCCACAGAAACGTCTCCTATCCTATCCCCTTCTCTCCCTCAGGCTTTCTAGCCTCTTCTCTCCATGAGGCTTGCCCCACAGAAGCCTGTCCTATGCTATCCCATCCTCTCCAGAGTTATTTTCAAGTTGGGAGGTGTAGTAGAACGTCTAACTAATTAGCATCAGAGCATGTTATAATAATATAGGAAATACTAATGCTCTGATGATCATTTTGAAAAATCCTTTCTTAGCACCTAGAAGCCAAGAGGAAACATACGTGGCAAATTTCAAGTTTGTAGGCTTTACGGTTCTGGAGATTTTGTGATTAATGCGTGAGTGGTACGTAACCAAGGTTTTTTGTAGCTCCAGCTCAGTAGAATCACATCCACTCGATTCTGGGCTTTTTTCTTTTCTAACAGCTAGCAAGCTCTTATTTAGGTCTCCCACCTAGCAGTAAGCTACAAAAAACCTTGGTTACTGGTCACTTAAAGCTCTTTCAAGTTTGAAAGAAGAGTATGGATCCATACCTTCTGGTCTGGAGCAGGTACGAAGCTGAGGAATTCATCTACGTGTCCCACATAGAGCCAATCTGAGTAGAGTTCAATGGGAGATTGTACAACTTGGCCGTAGAGGAAGTCCTTGACCAGTTTGGACATTGGGCTATTCCAAAAAAAAAAGGGGGGGTCTGAATTCTCATGATGTATTAAACCACGTTTGTTAATGCAAAATTGATTGATTCACACCACCCTAAGTCATAACAGTATGCATTATAAGATAAGCCACCGTGATAAATGTGCCTTATATTGAATTGACCCGAAACCTAACCGGTCAGGTGATGTTTTTAGCTTCTTACGAGACAGGGCAGCTTTTGATTAAGGTTGGCATCCAAACAAGAGACTCTTTCCCTTTTATTTAATCCCTCTTCAACCAATTTACAACCTTTGAAAAAAATACAATATTTTTAAAAATCTCCATAGCCTTTTTAAAAATCTTCACTCTGCTCGCTTTCTGGAAGCTTTTTCTTGAGTTGGTTCCTGGGGAGAGTCTTGCTAGAACAATCAAACTTCCTGTGCACATCCCTACTGGCATTCGCGGTGAAGGTTGAATGTCATTAACTTGGAGAAATGTTCAATTCTGTGTTGATGCTAGGACAAACTTCTCCAGAACTTCCATATGGGAAGAGGAACCCCTAGAGCAGGAATGTCAAACTCAGGCCCAGGAGCCGGATGTTTTAGATCTGGCCCGTGGGGCTGCCCTAAAAACAGCAAAGGACCGGCCCGCAATGCCTCTGCCAGTGAAAATTTATTATTTATTTTATTTACGTAATTTATATGGAGCTCGGGAGCCTGTTTTCTCTGGCTGAGAGCTCGGACCACCACAAACACCCCTGAAACGAGTGAAGCCAAGTTAGCCACACCTATCCCAGCCCCCGAGGTCAAACACAACCCTGATGCAGCCCTCAATGAAATGGAGTTTGACACCTACCCTAGAGAATCTTTTGAGTTTAAACCACAGGTACGTGGGAATGTTCTTATGGTCTCCTGTCATCACTTACCTGTACCTAGGAAGAGCGGCCCCTATTAGGATACGCCCAAGGGGATATTCCTTGAATTTGACATTCACCGGAGGGCTGACTTCAAGATTCCCAAATCCGTCCAGGCTAGAACCAAGCTCCTTGGAGGATAGTTCCCGTTTTACATACCCAAAATCTGGACCCTTGGGGGGAAGAACAAACAGCAGTGTCAAACACACCTTATTCAATCTTCTTTTTATCCATGCTGTATTTGTGAGATTGAGTTAGATAAATGCATATAAACCTTGCTCCAGTCCAGTGGTGAAATCCAATTTTTTTTACTACCGGTTCTGTGGGCGTGGCTTGGTGGGCATGGTGTGGCTTGATGGGCGTGCCTTGGGCATAGCAGGGGAAGGATACTGCAAAATCTCCATTCCCTCCCCACTCCAGGGGAAGGATATTGCAAAATCTCCATTCCCACCCCACGCTGGGGCCAGCCAGAAGTGGTATTTGCCGGTTCTCCGAACTGCTCAAAATTTCCGCTACCGGTTATCCAGAACCTGTCAGAACCTGCTGGATTTCACCCCTGCTCCACTCCTTCTGACCTATCAATCTCATCTTTGATGAAGGGAACATCAGTATGGCAACCAAGAATTCTGATTTTTTTTTTTTTATGAATAAGGGTTGAGTATAAAATGCAGAACTGTGATTTTTCAACAGCCAAGATAAAAGCGGGGGGGGGGGGGGCACTTACCAAAACCTCCTTAAAGGGGAAATCTTTGAGCCCTCTGTCCCTTGGGGAGTCAAAGACAACTGGAAATGTTTTGTGGGGAGCCTGGATGTACCCAAACTCCATCTCATCCTAAATTGACAGAAGAGTTGAAATAAAATTAAAAAGGTGTCTCCTGTTTATAGATGATAGAAACTTATGTTTGGATTTCAATCTGTTGAAATGCAAGGCAAAGTGATCCAGATTTGTCTATTAAAGTTACTTTTTAAAAAAAAAATGTTTTAGACATAGTTTTGAGGGGTCCTTGGTGCTCTCTGAACTGGCTTGTTTTCCTGCAGACGTTTCATTACCCAGACTAGGTAACATCATCAGTGCTAGTATGGAGTGCTGTTTGCTGTCAGTTTATATTCTGGTGACCTGCCTGCCTGTGTGGGTGGGGTCAGTCTTAAGTTCTTCGGTTGAGCTGTTCACTCGTGGCTCTTTGGCAGTTTCTTGATTGGGGTATTGCTTACCAACAATCTGGTAAGCAATATCCAAATTGAGAAACTACCAAAGAGCTGTCAGTAAACAGCCCAACCAAAGAATCTCTTAAGACTGCCCCCACTCACACAGATAGGCAAGACACCAGGATATAAACTGACAGCCAACAGCACTCCTTACTAGCACTGATTTATTTATTTATTTTATTTTATTGAATTTCTATACCGCCCTACTCCCGAAGGACTCAGGGCGGTGAACAGCCATGAAATAAAACACATACATATACAGGAATTATATCAAAAGGCGGCAAAAATAATTTGGATAAAGGAGTGGATCAAATTACAAGAAGGTAGAATCTTGACACTAGAAGGACACGATCTCCTTGAAGGATGGCACGCTTACCTCTGGGACATAAAGGATAGGAAGAAAACTCATTTCTATAAACATAAAATTAGAGAGACATTGATTCGTACGTGGCTGGAAATTAGACAGAAGATATATACCAAGGTTCCTAGCTGGTTGTCGATTATGGATGCTCTAGTGGCCCCAAATAGAAGAGGGAACTATAAAATGGGCACATATAAGGAGATCTTGGATGAAGAAGGGAAGCTCAAGCCCTTGGAAGTACTGAGGGACCAGGGGTTTATTCTGGATTGGTGGAAATATCTTCAGATTAAGTCTAGATTTCAAGAAGATAGAGATAAATGTGGTATTGAAATGAAATATGGATATTTTGACAAAATTATTTGGGGACCAGATAAGAAAATGCTATCGAAAATCTATAACTTTATATTAGATGAGGATAGAGCCGAGAAGATAGCTAAAAATCAGCAAAGCATTTGGGAGAAAAATTTAGGATATGGCCTTAATTTCAATGACTGGGAGATAGCTTGGAACAGAAATCTCAAAATAACGAAATCGGTAACATTCAGGGAAAATCACTACAAAATGTTGCATAGGTGGTACCTAGCCCCGGACAGGCTGGCCAAAATATTTCCAAATTCCTCTGCTTTATGTTGGAAATGTGGAAAGACGGTCGGCACCTTTTACCATCTGTGGTGGACTTGCCCTGAGACCAAAAAGTTTTGGTTAAAGATCCGACTCTGGCTCTCGGAAATAATGGGACAAGAGATAGCCCTGGCCTCGGAATCCTTCCTCTTAGGTATGATTGAAGATGGTCTCGACAACAATAAAACCCAACTGGCAATTCAAATTATTACTGCGGCTAGATTAGCCTTTGCGAAACTCTGGAAATCCAACTCTACCCCCTCTGAAGAAACATTAATAAATAAAATTCTAGAGTGCGCAGAGATGGCTAAATTGACGAGCGAGCTAAAAAATGAAGAGAACTTTAAGTACTACGAAGTATGGGGAATTTGGTATAACTGGTTAAAGAATAGGATAAAAATATGATAATAGGCTACGATTTGTTAGACACCCGAAATGGACTTAATTGTATAGAAATGTAGAGAATTGTATAGAACTGTATATTGTATAGCTAAGGATGGAATTCATTTAATGTTTGATCTATGAAATGTGTAAACATTGCACCTCGGATCAAGATTGTGATTGTACATTGTCTTTTTAAAAATTGGAAAATTCAATAAAGTATTATAAAAAAAAACAAAAAAAAAACACATACATATACAAAATTTAAAATCGAATAAAATTAATTAAATAAATTTGGCTGAATTGATACCCATAATTTAAAATACCCATATTTTAAAATACAGTAAAAATTTAAAATTTACACTTAAAAGGGAGAAGATTTAGGCGAGGCCAGCTTGATGAAATAACAGAGTCTTCAGCTCGCGGCGGAAGGTGCGCAGATCCGGAATCCTCCGTATCTCTGGGGGGAGCTCATTCCAGATCGTCGGTGCCCCCACAGAGAAGGCTCTTCCCCTAGGGGCCGACAGCCGACATTGTTTGGCCGACGGCACCTGGAGGAGCCCCTCTCTGTGGGAGCGTACTGGTCGGTGGGAGGCTATTGATGGTAGTAGGCGGTCCCGTAAGTAACCAGGTCCTAAGCCATGGAGCGCTTTAAAGGTGGTAACCAGAACCTTGAAGCGCACCCGGAAGACCACCGGGAGCCAGTGCAGCTCGCGCAGGAGAGGTGTTACATGGGAGCTCCACGCTGCTCCCATAACCACCCGCGCGGCCGCACTCTGCGCCAGTTGGAACCTCCGGGTGCACCTCAAGGGGAGCCCCATGTAGAGAGCATTACAATAGTCCAGACGAGAGGTGACGAGGGCATGAGTGACTGTGTAACGAGTCCCGATCTAGAAAGGGACGCAACTGGCGAATCAGGCGAACCTGATGAAAAATCCTCCCGGTCACGGCCGTCAAGTGCTCTTCTAAAGACAGCCATGAATCCAGGAGGACGCTAAAGTTACGAGCCCTTTCCGTGGGGGCCAATGATTCGCCCCCAATAGCCAGCGATGGCACCAGCTGACTATATCGGGACGTCGGAAACCACAGCCACTCGGTCTTGGATGGGTTGAGCCTGAGCCCGTTTCTCCCCATCCAGATCTGTACGGCCTCCAGGCACTGGGACATCACTTCAAGGGCATCGTTGGGGTGGTCCGGGGTGGAGATGTACAGCTGGGTGTCGTCAGCGTACAGATGGTACTTCACCCCGAAACCACGGATGATCTCGCCCAGCGGCTTTACATAAATGTTGAACAAAAGGGGCGAGAGAACCGATCCCTCCGGCACCCCACATATAAGGGGCCTCGGGGTCGATCTCTGCCCCCCTGTCAACACAGACTGCGACCGGTCAGAGAGAAAGGAGGAGAACCACCGTAAAACAGTGCCTCCCACCCCCAACCCTTCCAGCCGGTGCAGCATGATACCATGGTCGATGGTATCAAAAGCCGCTGAGAGGTCTAACAGGACCAGGACAGAGGAACAACCCCTGTCCCGAGCCCTCCAGAGATCATCAACCAACGCGACCAATGCCGTTTCCGTGCTGTACCCAGGCCTGAAGCCCGACTGGAATGGATCTAGATACGACGCTTCATCCAGGTACTGGGGAAGCTGTCGCGCAACCACACTCTCAACAACCTTCACAACGAAGCAAAGGTTGGAGACTGGACGATAATTAGCCAATACTGCCGGGTCCAGGGAAGGCTTCTTGAGGAGGGGCCTTACCACCGCCTCTTTCAGGGCAGCGGGGAAGACACCCTCACCCAACGAAGCATTTATAATCCCCTGGAGCCAGCCTCGCGTCACCTCCCGGGAAGCCAGCACTAACCAGGAGGGACACGGGTCCAACAAACATGTGGTCGCGTTCAATCTACCCAGAATCCTGTCTACGTCATCTGGGGTCACAGGATCAAACTCATCCCAGATAACAGTCTCAAGACCTGCCTCCGTCACCCTCGCTGGATCTATCCAGTCAGAGTCCAGACCTGCCCGAATCTGAGTGATTTTGTCATGCAGATACTGAACAAAATCCTCGGTTCTTCCCTCCAAGGGGTCCTCCCGCGCTTCCTGGTGGAGCAGGGAGCAGGTCACCCTAAACAGGGCGGCCGGGCGATTATCTGATGACGCAATAAGAGCAGTAAAATGGGTACATTTTGCTGCTTTTATCGCCACTAGGTAACTCCTAATATGAGATCTTACCAGTGTTCGGTCAGATTCAGAAAGACTAGCCCTCCAACAGCTCTCTAGGCGTCTTTTCCAGCGCTTCATCTCCCTCAGCTCCTCGGTAAACCAAGGAGCCAGGCGAGATCGGCGCCGGGTCAGAGGCCGCAAAGGCACGACTCGATCCAGGGCTCCAGCAGCCGCCCTATCCCAGGCGGCCACTAGGTCCCCAGATGAGGCGTGAGCCAGAACCTCCGGGATTGGCCCAAGCTCCATCTGGAACCTATCAGGTTCCATCAGGCGCCTGGGGCGGTACCATCTTACCGGTTCCGCCTCCCTGCAGCGGGGTGCCGCGGTTCGAAGGTCAAGGTGAAGGAGCGAGTGATCTGACCATGACAAGGGCTTGATGACTATGTCCCCTATCTCGAGATCACTCAACCACTGTCCAGAGACAAAAACCAAGTCCAGTGTGTTTCCCCCAGTGTGCGTAGGGCCATGAATTAGTTGGGTCAGATCCATGGCCGTCATGGAAGCCATGAACTCCCGAGCCACCTCAGACGCCTCACCCACGGATGGCAGGTTGAAATCCCCCATGACCATAAGTCTGGGGGTATCAACCGCCACCGCGGCAATAACGTTGAGTAGCCCGGGCAGGGCTGCCGCCATGTGGCAGGGAGCCAGGTACGTGATCAGCAAACCCATCTGAACCCCGTGGCCCCACTTCACAAGGAGGGACTCACAACCAGCTGTCTGAGGTACAGTGGTCTCCCTCGGCCTAAGGCCTTCTCTAATAATAACCGCTACTCCCCCGCCCCTCCCCTGTGACCTTGGCTGATGGAATGCGTGGAAACCTGGTGGGCACATTTCTACCAGAGGGACCCCTCCCTCTGGGCCCAACCAGGTCTCCGTAATACCCGCCAGGTCCGCTCCCCCCTCGTAAAGAAGATCACAGATGAGGGGGGCTTTATTTACTACGGACCTGGCGTTACACAGCATCAGGCGAAGGCCCGGGCCCTGAAGGTCTGTACTACCTGGAGAATGGGTGGAGCCTTGGGGGCCGGAGCACCCTACCGCTTGAAGACAGTGGGTGCGTGCTCCCTTAACATGATATGGCCCCCAGCTCCCGCCATATCTACCTCTCCCACACACAGTACCGATGGTAAAAACACAGTCTGGACCAGCTCGACCCCCTCCGGATCCCCCCCCCGCCAAACGTCCTGGCCAAGCCCGTCTCTCCCCCTAGTGGGTTATCCCCCAAACCCACAACCCTAATTCCAATCCCACCCCCCTCCCCCCTCCCCGAACCCCTTAAAAGTTTAGACAAGGACAATTTAAAAAAACCCCGCAGCCCCCTCTTTGCGGCATGCCACCTCTCGGGGCTCCAAAGCCCGTCATCGAGGTAGGCCCTCGATAGAATGGAGGGCCAAGCCTGCGAGAGGGGGGAATCTCGCAGACCAAGAAGCTCCGCTGCTGAGTACATTGATCATAATGGGTGACACGACCATATCCTGAGGGTGTATATAAAGGACCGAGGAGAAGACAAAGGAATGGGGGATCTCAGAGACATATTCGCAGGACCAAGTCCCCTGTCCCCTCACAACAGAGGACATAGTCCAAAGCCAAGACGACCACAGTTCCAAGGGGGAAATAGATCCAACCACCCTCTCACGGTGGTTAGGTCAGCTGGACAGCCCCCTCTTGTGGTGAGGTGGTAGCAATGAACCGATGCATATAGACAGCGTCGGGGGTCAGGTCCAAAAATCGCCCTCTCACGGCGGTTTGTCCGATGGTAAAGACCGATGGTAAAGTCCCCTCGCTGGTAAAGTGCATATATGTAGAAAGCCTCCCGGTTCAGCCCCCAGGGGCTCCGACACCTGGCCACCCTCTCACGGTGGTCAGGCAAATGTCTAGCCCCCTCAGCCGACGGGATGCAGCCATGTACCAGTCTCCCATTCAGGTGGAAATAGCCCTCTCCAGAGTCAGGGGGGTTCAGAATAGTAATAGAACATAGCGCCAATGACTCCCACAGGCTGACAGTTGGTCCAGGTGGGCCCAGTCCTAAAGGGGGAGAGAGAAATGGGAGGAGAGAGAAATGGGGCAGAAATGGGGCAGTTATCTCGAGCCCCTGCCCCCCCCACAACCACAAATTGAGGCCTCCCAAAGCCCAGAAGGTCACTCCGGGTCTTTTCCGCCCAACCGTGGTTGCAGGTCTCCCAGTCCTGTTGGTTTGTTGCCCCCCCAACTCCTATTCCAAGGGGGGGGGGTCCCCAGCGCCGTCTGACCGCCAGCTAGCCTCCACAGCAACCGCCATCGCCGCCGCCACCGCGCCATTGTCGCCAGCCCCCGAAAGAGCCTGGCGACGTCCCAAAGATCTTCAGGGGGTGCCTGACACATCTTGCAGCCCTTCGGGCAACCCCCCAGGGCTTAAAAACTTGCCGCGTGGCGGGCGCCCCCGGCACAACGCCGCTCCAATTAATTGATGGCCTCCGGCTGTGAAGAAACGCTGCCGACGCCCAGCTGATCAGCCTGACGCTCCTCGCATCGCCCCTTCCTCTCTGCTCAGTCACGGAGGGAAAAAAAACCCTCTCCGTGCTGGCCAGGAGCTCCCCTGACTGGTCCTGGGGTCGAAAATCTTCAGAACGACCCCCAAAGGACCCAAAGGGTAGGTCGGCGCCCCATCCTCAGATCGCGATCCCAGCGGGCGCCGCCATCTTGGACATGCGCATGATACATGATGGTATTACCTAGTTGGGTATGAAACGTCTGCAAGAAAACAAGGAAGCTCAGAGAGCACCAAGGGCCCCACAGTCCTCCACCTCCTCTCTGCATAGTCCACTCCCTTCTAGCACTGATGAAGTTAACTAGTTGGGTAATGAAACACCTGCAAGAAAGCAACCAAACTCAGAAAGCACCAAGGACCCTATGTTGTGACTCCGACCCCCGAACCCATTTTATCGGAGGGAGAAGACTTTGAAAGTGAAGGAGAGGAGTTGGCAAGGCCTCCCTCTCCAGGACCCTCCTCTCTGGCAATGCCTCAGGTGTCTTCCGAAGGAGAAGAGATAGGCCCGGAGCCAGGCATCTCTGAGCAGCCGCAGTTAAGACAGCGACAGAGATAAGTCTTGGCTGGATCCCCGACAGCGTTGGAAAGACAAGTGCATGCAGCAGAGAAGGAGGCGTGCCAGAGATTAAGCTGAGTCACTGGATAAAAGGGGATAAAAGGGGGTGTGGTGGCCATTCAGGCTTTGTGACGGACAAAACTGAACAGCTAGCAAGTCATACTGTGTTTCTGGAACTTCGTTATATGCCTTCCTTGGATTTATTATGGATGACTTGACAATTCTTTGGCTTTGTGAATTTATTTTGGTTTATCTGACGGAGGAGGAAAACCTCCCTTTGTGAGTAAAGTTTTTGGCAAGCAGCTACTGGGTTGCTGCCAATTCTGTTATCAAAGGAAATTATTGTCTGCAGGTTTATTTTAATTCTTGGTCGACTGCTGGTGTGCGTGTGTGAGACGGGGACAGAACACCCTATAGTTCTCCTCCTCTTCCTCTCTGCACATCCCAAACCTCCTAGCATTGATTATGTTACCTAGTTAGGGTCATGAAAACATCTGCAAGAAAACAAGGAAGCTCAGGGAGCACCAAGGAGCCCTCATGTCAATCCTGAGCTACAAATATTCTTTATAGGCATAGATTTTATTGCAACAGTGTGAAAGTAATTGGGAACTTTGAATATGGATAAGAATTTCAGTTAAACCTTTGATGTTACCACACCAATGGATGCACTACGAGGAAGAGATGACATGTAGCATTGATTAAAAATATCTCTAATTATTTCTGGAAATGTGTAGGATAAGAACCACTGGTTTGTGACCTACCTGGATCCATTTGTCACCTCGATTTTTCTCTTTCGGACAGATAATACATTTGCATCCAGCTTTTGTGGCAAGCTTCCTTATATGTTCCACAAAATCCTTATTGTAATCAACACTGTACATTCAGAAGAATAGATGGAGGTGTTAGAAGACAGAAATAGAGAAGAGAGAAGGGCTTAAGTTTTGATGGTAAGTCTACAGAAAGCTTCATACATGTATGTTGGTCCATGACTCCTTACCTGCAGATGTAAACAGAAACTGGCTGCAAGGTGTTTGGGGTCATAATCCATGGAGCAACCCGGAAGACCAAAGTATCCGTGAAAATGGAAGTTTCTGGGACCCCCTGAAGCAGGAAAATACAGGATATGAGGACCAAGAAATATATTGAATTCCAGAAAGATGCCTCTAAACATTTAAAAGTTACAAGATTTAGGAGTACAGAGCTAAGGTTGAAGTAAAAAAACAGAGAGGTACACCTTCTCTTTAGTTCAGGACAGGAAGAGGGGTGAGAAAGAAGCTCAAGATAATACCATCTTGATCCTCTTTACTAAAGGAAATGTAAATTTAAGATTCCAAGATTCTGTTCATCGTACTTTCTACAGTAATAAAATAGAATTCCTGTAGTTTTTTTGGGTCTATTTCCTGATCTGCCTTCCCTTGAATAACTGATAAATGAAGAAGAAGTGAAGAAGGTCCTAGAGAGACGCCTATGATGAAGATTGGAAAAGCATTCCAGATGCTTTATCAGTTTCCCTGTCAAAGGTGCTTCTTTCCCACTCTTCCCCATGTTCTCTTTGATGTTCTCCATACCTTCTTGGCGGGCTCCAGGAGTGAAGCGTGGAAAGTGACAAGCCCTGAAAAGTCAATGTCTGGAAATTTCAGCCCTTCCACATAGAAAATGCTCTCCACTTGACCAAGGTTCCGTTTCACATGGTAGGAGATTTTTTCGGATCCTAGAACATGTTTGTAATATCTCTGCTCCTTCTTGTCTGTGAATCAAAACCCAATCCTGTTTTATTCATTTCTTTGTTTCTTGAAAGCAAAGATACATACGTTCATCCAGATCGCGCATTAACCCTTTGAGATCCAAAGGAACTTGTGGTTGGTTATCATTGGTGACCAGAGAGCTGGTCAAACTTTTGATCTGTCGTAACAAAATTATGGACTTCCTCTTTGGTGAAGGACAAGGAAGATAGGTATCGACTTGATCCTCTCGAAAATGCTCTCTTGCTTTCTCTAGGTGAGGAGCATAAAAAGGAAGACTGGGCACCATAGTTACTTAAAAGAATCTACAATAAGCGTTCTCCTTTGGGTCTTGGCTTCATCCGCCCTCGGCCTCAGTCTTGAAGCCCAACGGCCTGCTGGCCTTCAACACTTACCTTGAGCGTAGAAGACTCCCACTTTGTCACAATCAGCTTTCGAGATGTGGAGAGTCAGCTGGTAGTTTGCAAAAACTTCATTAGGTCCCTGAGTTGTCAGGATCATACGGGACATGTCCTGGAGGTCTAAAAGGAGAACCAATTCAATTCCAATTGAGCCAGAAACTCTTGACTTCTGGCCTCACGCTTTCATTAACCACAATCAGGTTTTAGTTCGGTTGATGAGCTCAGACATTCAAGTGACCACAGCATGACTATTTACGATAACTTTGGGATATTATAAGGATCCTCAAGCACCCATTCTGTGAGCAGCATAAATGCAACCGGTCATAAATTGAGGTCTATCTGTACTTCAGCACCATGTCCTTCCATTACAACACTGCTATTACAGATTGTGGATGTTGCAATCCACACCTCTTCAAGCTTTAAAGGATGAGAAAAACTACGCTTAACAATGAGTGCTGCTGCCTACCTTGCTTGGACGTCAGCTTGGTGTCCTTGTTGTCTTCCTCTTTGGCTTTAGGATTGTCTCGGTCGCAGTTCACCAAGAGAATGGCGCCTTTTCCATCTGGACCCCACGTCCACTGATCCTGCAAGGATGGGAAGCCATGTCAGGGTGGACATCAGCAAAAATGGGGTCCCTCTTTGGCTCTGCCTCCCCTCAGCCAGGATCCTCTTCCTCTTTGTGGAGGCTATGAAAAATGACCACCTTCTTCTCCAGAAGCTGCCAGAAGAGCAATCTGGGGTCTCGGGAGCCCTTGTGAAAAGCAGCATCTGCTTTCCAAGTCATCCAGCGACCATTTTATTTATTATGTATTTATTCATTACATTTAGATGATTGTAATTAGCCGAGTGAGTTCATTACAACACCACCCCAGCCAGGTGTGCCCCAGATGTGTTCGCAAATCCCATCCTCCCCTACCAGCAGGAGAAACGGCCCACAAAGCCATCAGCTCCCCAACCTCTTTGCATTACATTACAAATATTTTCATCCCCGTCATTCTACCCCAACCAAAAATCTTATTTTAATTTAACCTTTTGCTTCCCTCCTCTGGTCACCATTCCTGAACGGTTTATATCAGCATCCAGGGACATTTCTGCACCAGGAAAACAAAGAGGGGGGTTTAAAACAAAGAAATTTTTAAATTATTCCCACCCAAAGCCTCTGCTTGCACCCCAGTCTCATTTTTTCTGCAAGAAAAGTATATTTTAGGCCATGTTGATTAGTTGTCTGCTTTTTCTTTTTTCCCTGTTCGATCCCACTCTGATCAGGGCAGGATTCACTGATCCAGATTTGCTGAGTTATAGCCCCCTCTCCCCCCAACCCCGGCAATTCATCCTTTGGGCCATGCCACGCCTCTGCTGCATCCTTGCCAGCTTACCTATGCAGGTAATATGCAGAATCGCTTTGGCGATGGGGATCTTGTCGTTACACTCATAGTACGAAACTCTGATCTGCAATATACCATCAAACAGTAAATTTAAGTCAATGGATATTGGGGGTGGCACCCCTTAAAATTCTCCCTCTTTAACACACCCCTGTTTTCAACTTTATAATCTATCATGGTTCCTGTGCCCAAAGGAACATTGAATTGGGAAATTTCTAATTTGCTTCGTGGTGGATAAATAGCAATAACATTTAGACTTATATACCGCTTCACGGTGCTTTACAGCCCTCTCTAAGCAGTTTACAGAGTCAGCCTATTGCCCCACAACAATCTGGGTCCTCATTTTACCGACCTCGGAAGGATGGAAGGCTGAGTCTACCTTGAGCTGGTCAGGATCGAACTGCTGGCAATTGACAGTCAAAAGAATTAGCCTGCAAAACTTCATTCTAACCACTGCACCACTAATAAACCTTACCTTGCATAAATGATTTTTTTTTCTTTTTCTTTTGGTCTCCCTATCTAAAATTCTCCACTGGTTTCCACTGCCAGGTTTAAGCACATTGTCAATATCTGAACTTCATAAACCAGGCTTATTGGAGCTTATGATGATGAATAACAGAGTTGGAAGGGACCTTGGAGGTCTTCTAGTCCAACCAGCCAATCCTCTTGCTCAAGACCCTATATCATTTCAGACAAATGGTTGTCCGATCTCTTATTAAAAATCTCCAGTGTTGGAGCATTCACAACTTCTGCAGCCAAGTCATTCCGTTGGTTTATTTATGGTAATTTTGTTCAGGAAATCCATTTGTAGGTCTAAAAGAAAGCCTACACAAGAAATATTGGGCATAACTTAGAATTGGAGGACTGGGAAAAAGTGTGGGAAAATAACTATATTATAACAAAATCAGTGGTTTATAAAGAGAATCAATAAATGTGGTATAGATGGTATCTGGCCCCTTCGAGACTAGCAAAAATGTATTCAAATTTAAGTCCAACCTGTTGGAAGTGCAAACAGGCACAGGGTACTTTCTTCCACATCTGGTGGCTTTGCCCAAAAATTAGGAAGTATTGGGAAAAAGTAAGAATTTGGCTAATAGAAATAACATCGGAAAAAATAGAACTCAAACCAGAGATTTTTCTACTAGGGATGATTAAAGAAAACTATAGGAAAGAAATAAAGTATTTAATATTATACATAGTCACTGCAGCCAGATTGGCGCTCGCCCAATATTGAAAAACTGATCAACTTCCAACAGACCAATTGATAATCCAAAAAATCTATAATTGTGTGGAAATGGATAAACTAACATTTGAAATGAAGGACAAGGTAGACTCAAAATGTTATATAGCATGGAATAGGGGGGTATGATTGGATAATTCGTAGAAATGAGAGTAAATGTAAAATTTTGTACGATAATAATAATTATTGATAATAATAATAACAAATATGCACTGTTAATAAGATAATGGACGTGTGACCAAAATCACTTTTTCTTTTTATGTATTGTCGTTTGTATTAATATATATGTATCTTGTATATACATAGTATAGTATTTTACTTTTATATGTTTAATAAAGTTTTGGTTTTTTTTTAAAAAAAGAAAGCCTACAAATCCCAGGATCTGCAATCTTTGGCCTATGTTTCTATCCTCACCTTTTTGTCATCGACTTGGTCGCTGGGTGCATCCATGGTGGCGCTGAATTTGACGGTTTGGTCCAGCGGCCATGTTGAGTCGTGGCAGCAGACCTTCGATTTTGTCATGTGATCCTCGATTTTGTAGATGTTCAGGCCGTGGGTGGCCCAGATCTCGAAGCAGGTCGCAGCCCTCGGGGCTGCCCTAAAGGAAAGACGCTGTTCATTGCAAAACTGTTCCCATTTAAGTCATAAGAGATTTAAGATATGCAGTTTCCTCCCCGCCTCCGTTTAATGCCTTTTGCTCCAGCAATAGTTCATTGCCAAACGTCCACATTAATATGGGTGAGATTGGACTCTTAATGTCCAATTTTGACTGAAAGGATAAGGTGCTCCCCTCTAAAATATCATAACAAATTGTATCATTGGCTAATTCCAGTCTGGCAAAAATTGGGAATCTACCCCTAATGAATTTGGCAATTCCAAAATGCTGTTTTGGTCACTTCTGGCACATTGAAGAGTGGAAACAGAATTGAAAGTGTGTTTCCAAGCTATCTTCTCCAAGCTAACCTGACCCAGGTAAATTCCTCCAACAATCCCAATTAGCAATTCTTTTAAACTGGGAATACTACTTCCTGATGTCTATGGAGATCCTCAATCATCCAGATCCATGGTTGGTTATCCTGAAGATGTGTTTTCCCAAAAGGCAAGTGAACTTTCTTGCTGTCATCTTCGAAAACGCTTCGCTCTTAGAAGCTTCTTGGATGAGAAGCGAAATGTTTTCCAAGAAAATAAGAAAGTCCAATTGCTTTTTGGGAAAAAAAGCACCTTTGGGACCAATTCTTTTTGATGCGAAGATGCGGTGATGGGCAAGTGTTGCGCATCTCTTCAGGAAGACCAGTAGATTTTCTAAGTTCTTATTTTCTTCTGTAAATCAGAAAACATTGTGTAATAGGAATGTCCAGATGCTTACCCAAGGATGTCCAGGAAGAGCTCGGTGCCCAGAATATGGACAGTGCTGGTAACCTTCTCCGTTGAAAGCTGGACGCACCTCTGGTCAGTCATCCTGGGGGATATTTTTTTCCCTTCTTCCAGGTGGGGTTTGCTGGCTCTGGAATAAACATCCCTGAGCTGGAAGGAGAGATTTAAAAGGGGGAAAGGATGGGGTGGGTACCTGCTCAGTCTCTCACCATCTTGCCATCTGATAGGCTGGTGCACACCTTAATCCTGCCTTCTGGGCTGGGGTTGCTGATTTGGGAGCTGGCAGCCCATGTTCTCACCCAAAGAGAATTATCAGCTTCCATCCCAGGGAGGAGGAGGAGGAGGAGGAGGAGGAGGAGGAGGAGGAGGAGGGGGAGAAGGAGGAAGTAGCCACAAGGCGTGGAGACTTCCTAGAAAGTAACCGAACTCCAGAATGAGACAGGTTGGTTTATTTATTTATTTAGATTTGATTTGTAAAGCCACCCATCCCGGCGAACGACACCGGGAGGCTCACAATTTAGAAACATTAGATTAGAATTAAAATCTTTAAAACATTTTAAACAATAAAGACAGTAAAAGCCAATAAGACATTCCCTCCAAAAAAAACCTCCAAAACATTAATACGTTTAATCCTTGTGTTTTCCAGTTGGAAAGAAGTAAGAGGCTAATTTAGCAGAGATCCAGACCGTTCGGTGATTTTATCTAGAAAACTTGAGATCCGCAGAAGATGTGTTTGAAAATGGACAACCGGCTCCCTCCTCTGCGATAAAGACAGTTGAAGAGGTCTGCAAATAAGGACTCGCCGAATCTTGTGTCTTTATATGCCTGTTCAGTCCTCAGGGGTAGGTTTGTATTGAGATGAAGGATAATGAAGTTGGTTTCTTAAACACAGCTCAGTTCAGAAGTCAAACACTTTTTGAAGAGGAAGCCTGCCGTCTTAAATTGATGAAAAACGTTTTTGTCCATCCATCTGTAGAGTTTCCTGCTTAGGCAGGGGGGTTGGACTAGAAGACCTCTAAGGACCCTTCCAACTCTGTTATTCTATTTCTATCTGACGGATTGGATTTGGCTTAGACACCAAAGAAGGAGGCCGTCTCCAGAGTTCGATTCAATAAGTTTAATTTCAGCAACCAACTAACAAAATAACTTAAGCTTTTTTTTTACAACCTATTCCGCCGAATAGGTTGTAAAAAAATGCTTGTAAAAGTAAAAAAAAAAAAAGGCTGTGATGATCAGGCAGCTCAGCTGGGATCGTCAGAGACTTTTTTTTTAACCTTTTAAAAGCATTTTTTAAAAGAAGTGGCAAGTGGGCGACCGGGCGATTGGGTGGGCGTGGGTGGAGGGGCCAGGGATTTTTGCTACTGGTTCTCCGAACCACCTGCCGCCATCGCTACCGGATCGGGCAATCTGGTCCGAACCGGGAGCATTTGACCCCTGGGTAGTCCTCAACATACAACCTCCATTGGGACTAGAATTTGTTTTGCTAAGCAAAGCTGCTGTTAACTAAGTCGCACCCAGGTTTACAACCGTTCTTTTGGCTATAGTTGTTAAATGAATCACTGCAGTCATTAAGTGAATCGTGGAGTCATGTAATTTAGTGTGCCTGTTGCATTGAAAAAGCACCCGTGCCCCACATTTAGAAAGAAAAACATGATTAATTGGGCACATTAATACTTCCTCTTGTCTGGTGCCGATGAAAGTCACTGAGATGCATCAGGTTGCAAAGAGATTAGTTTGCACAACTGAGCCGGAGACAATTTGACAATAATGCACATTTTTATTTTTGACAATTTTGCATTCCTGGCTGAGATAACGATGCCATCTCAATCCAAACAATCAGGTTTTCCCATTCTTCTCTCCCTCTCTCCCTCTCTCTCTCTTTCTCTCTCTCTTTCCCTCCCTCCCTCCCTCCTCCCTCCCTCTCTCTCTCTCTCTCTTTTTTTTTTTCCTCCAGAGATCCGAGATTCTCATCTGATTTTTGTAGCTGGTCCTTCACCGCTCAACTCCTAACCTCTAAATCTATCTATGCTTGTAATGGACGGGAAGCATCTCATTCCCACATGCAAATTCTGCCAAGTAATCAGACTTTGGGCTGGATTTGCTGTTTAGAACTTGGAGTTAGCAACTTGAAACCACAAACGCTTGCAAGATTTACAAGTGCCTCCTTCCTCCTTCAAATAATCTTTGGGAAGTCAATTAGGTCAGCCTTCATACAATGAGTAAATATTTCTTGCTCCTTACAAAGAGAAGAGACAGCAGTTCCTCCTTGTGGTTTTATCCGAAAGTTCCTGGTGATCGCTTTTGAGTAATTCTCACTGAAAATGTAAATTTATTTGGCTTTTCCAGGTGTTTTCTTCTTCTCTCGCTGGTTTCTCCAGAAACAGCGTTTTTCCAGAAAGCCAGACAAGAGTTGGAAGGGACCTTGGAGGTCTTCCAATCCAACCCTCTGTTCAAACAAGAAACCCTGTACCGTTTCAGACAAATGATTGTCCAAGCTGTCCTTAAAAACTTCCAGTGTTGGAGCATTCACAACTTCTGGAGGCAAGTTGTTCCACGGATTAATTGTTCTGTCAGGAAATTTCTCTTTAGTTCTAAGTTGCTTCTCTCCTTGATTAGTTTCCACCTGTTGCTTCTTTTCCTGTCCTCAGGTGCTTTTGAAATAGTTTGACCCCCTCTTCTTTGTGGCAACCCCTGAGATATTGGAACACTTCTATCAAGTCTCCCCTAGTCCTTCTTTTCATTAAACTAGACATACCCAGTTCCAGCAACTGTTCTTCATATGTTTTAGCTTCCAGTCCCCTAATCATCTTTGTTGCTCTTCTCTGCACTCTTTCTAGAGTCTCCACATCTTATTTACATCATGGCGACCAAAACTGGATGCAGTATTCCAAGTACGGTCCTACCAAGGTATTATAAAGCATTTTAACACTTCACGTGACCTTGATTCTATCCCTCTTTTAATGCAGCCTCAGATTGTGTTGGCTTTTTTTGGCAGCTGCAGCGCACTGCTGGCTCATATTTAAGTGACTGTTACATCAACGCCCAAAACACCCCTTCATTCAAGTTTGGAAGGACCCCTTTTTGCCCAGAATTGAGTAAAACTATTCCCATCCACATGTCTTTTTTTCCTCTGCTAAAAGGTTTGAAAATCTAAGATTCCCCTTTTTGAGTCAACAGGATTTAACCATTCTTCATGATTAGATGCTATTGCTTAGAATTATCAGTGCTGGTTGGCCATTGTCTTCATTTGCTAACAGTCCACCTCGTGTAATTTTTTTTAAAGAAAAGCTCCCTTTTAGCCACTACCTTTTCAACATAAAGACATTGAAGGCAATCTTTAAAAACGAGGATAAAAAGATTATAAAATTTCTCCCTTTGCAGATGGAAAGGTATCTCGTTTTTGCAGATGGGAAGCATGGTAGATTATCCCAAAGGTGCTTCTTTAAAAGGCAACTGCACTTCTTTTGTTTTTCTTTGACGACATTTTGCTTCTCGGAAAATCTTCAAAGAAAAACAGGAATGTCCAGTTGCCTCTTGAAAAAGCACCTTTGGGACAACCATGGCCTGGATGACTGAGAATCCTCCATAGATGTGGTAGATTATAAATCTCTGTTGTTCTCTCCCTTGAACCTTGGAATTGAAACCCAGCCTCAGCCCCGTAGGATGCTCAGAAGGGATGCTTGCTTTGGAAAGACCAATGGGAAGGAGGGTCTCTCACCATGTCTGGAAACAGGGCTGTAGCGGTGGAGCCTTCAAGAGTGAAGAGCTGGGGGATATCAATGATGTCTCGTTCGGTCAGTCCGAGTTCCTGCTTTAAAATACTCCGGTTCCAGTCAATGGGAAGAGGGACAGAAGGACAAGTGTGTGTGATGGGTTCCCGTCAGGTTAAAGCAGGGGTCTCCAAACTTGGCAACTTTAAGACTTGTGGACTTCCACTCCAAGAATTATTCCCCAGCCAGCAGAGGAATTCTGGGAGTTGAAGTCCACAAGTCTTAAAAGTTGCCAAGTTTGGGGACCCCTGCATTAAAGGTTTAATTCATATTATCTGTCCTTAAAGCACTACGACGCTGAGCTTGTCGGTCGAAAGGTCGGCAGTTCAGCGGTTCGAATCCCTAGTGCCGCGTAACGGGGTGAGCTCCTGTTATTTGTCCCAGCTTCTGCCAACCTAGCAGTTCGAAAGCACGTAAAAAATGCCAGTAGAAAAATAGGGACCATCTTTGGTGGGAAGGGAACAACGTTCCATGCACCTTTGGCATTGAGTCATGCCGGCCACATGACCACGGAAACGTCTTCGGACAGCGCTGGCTCTTCGGCTTTGAAACAGAGATGAGCACCGCCCCCTAGAGTTGGGAACGACTGGCACATGTGTGCGAGGGGAACTTTTACCTTTAAAGCACTTTTATATCTCTGGCTTGATGTCTCCCTCATCAGTGTCCTGAGTTTAAGTGTTCAAGTAACGATCTATTACAGATAGTCCTTGACTTATGACCACAGTTGAGCCCAAAATATCTGTTGCTAGGTGAGATGGTTGTTAAGCGAATTTTGCTCCCATTATACAACTTTTCTTGCCACAATTGTTAAGTGAATCACTGCAGTTGTTAAGTTTTTTTTTTTTTTTAATTTGATTTATATGCCGCCCTTCTCCGGAGACTCAGGGCGGCTTACAATGCGTTAAGCAATAGCCTTCATCCTTTTGTATATTTATACAAAGTCAGCTTATTGCCCCCACAAACTGGGTCCTCATTTCACCTACCTTAGAAAGGATGGAAGGCTGAGTCAACCTTGAGCCTGGTGAGATTCAAACCTGCAGTAATTGCAGGCACCCTGTTATTGCTTTAGACCACTGTACTACCAAGGCCGCTTATTAACCCGCTTGTTACGTGAATCTGGCTTCGCCCATTGACTTTGCTCATCAGAAGGTCGCAAAAGGGGATCAGATGACCCTGGGACACTGACTGTCATAAATATGAGTCAGTGCCAAGCATCCAAATTTTGATCACTTGACCATGGGGATGCTGTAATGGTCGTAAGTGTGAAGAATGTTCCTAAGTCACTTTTTTCAGTGCTGTTGTAACTTCAAATGGTGACTAAGTGAACCCATGTAAGTCAAGAACTTCTTGTGTTATGTTAGCTTGATATCCTGACTTTCTCCCGAGGGTGTGGGAATCTCAATTTGTATGAAATAGGTTGGGTTGAGAGAGAATAGAAGCCTAGAATCACCCCAGGAGGGTGGATTTGAATCCAGACCTTAACCAACTACACCCCAGAGGCTTTAAATCTTTTTTTTTTTTAATTTAGGATTTAACTGTCACACCAGGCCGTCCAACTTTGGTGACTTTTAGAGGTGTGGGATTTTGCTTCCTGTAACTCTAGCCGATTTGAAATTTAAAACATATTTGATAAGGTGTAGTTCTGGTTAATAATTTCTTCTTTGAAAGTGTATTTAAAGGCTCAAAAAACCAAAGTCTGCCCTCATCCTGCTGAAATGGTTCGACAAGAATAGAAAAAGAGGTGTGGGATACGTTATGGAAAGGGACACGTAGGCTTAAAAAATACGTGCGGTTGTTGATTTAAGGAGTGATTTCAATCTTTCTAAAATGAAACGCCACGACGCTCCCATAACCACCTGCGCAGCCGCACTCTGCGCCATGAATGTTATCTTCAATTATTTCTTGTATCCATTTTCTAATTTTTTTTCCAGTATTTCTTCGCTTCGGGGCATGCCCACCACATATGATAGAAGGTACCCTGATGATAGCCACATTTCCAACAATTTGGGCTTGCAGAGCCAGCAGAGGAATTCTGGGAGTTGAAGTCCACAAGTCTTAAAAGTTGCCAAGTTTGGGGACTCCTGTGTTAAAGCTTTAATTCATATTAAAGGTATCCTTTAATATGGCATCCTGTCCTTAACGTATTTTATACAGAAAGAGTTGTGGGACATGTTATAGAAAGGGACACCTAGGCTTAAAATATACATGTAGTTGTTGATTTAAGGAGGGGTTTTAATCATTCTAAAACAAAACTTACAAAACTGTAAGGAGCATGCCTAAGTGCCTACCATCCCTGTCCTAATATTCTTTTTTACTTACTCCTTTCATGTATTCAAATTATGTTTATACTTTTACCTGTTATCTTATATATGCTTGACAAATAAAGTTATGATTATGATTATGAAAACAATAGTTCTTTGCTCAGTTGGAGACACCAAGGAGGTATGGAAAGGGACACGTAGGCTTAAAAATACATGCGGTTGTTGATTTAAGGAGTGATTTCAATCTTTTTAAAATGAAACAATAGTCCTTTGCTCAGCTGGAGACACCAAGGAGGTAGTATCAACTATGTGGTATTTCAAAGGATAATAGACCACTTTTCCATCGGATGCAGGGTTTTCTAAACCAAACAAAAACTTTTTTCTACTTGTTAGGAAATAAGAACCTGGGATTTGAAAACAGGCAGCTGGTAACTCCCTGTTACAATTATTTGACAGATGTCATCCTTAGATCCAAAAAGAGGGCCTGACAGTAGTCAAAGAAGGAAATTACTAAGAGCGATCTAGAAGTTGGCTGTTGCAAACCAGCTTCTTAGAAAAGTCTTACAAGCAAAGGAGCATCCTAAGATTCTGGGTTCATTTTCACACCTCTAAATTCTTGGTAAATGGTTACTTAATGGTGGGGAATGAATTATGCAATGGGGAACTTCTGTCTTTTGCTGGGAATCAGTTTTCTTCTTTAATGTGGTGTGAATTCTCTACCTAACGTAGAAAATGCCAGAGTTTTGTTACTGTTTTACCTGAACATATTTGTTGTCTTGGTGCAAATTTCTGTCCGTCAGGATCTCATGGAGGGTAATTTTCCCCACCCTCCTCAGACCTGGAAAAAATTAAAGATTTATACATGAGGATGGGTGGTCTGATCTCCCATGGAATCAGCCGGAAAGAATAACCTTAGAGCTCACCTTCAAACAGGGCAGCCTTCCCATAACCGTTCTTTTTGCTTCTCTTCAAACAGCTTCAAGCAAGCGAGGGGACTGGCCAGAGGAAGCCGGAAACCCTGCATGGAGACATACCCCCCCCCCCCCGGATGGTAAGAATCTCAGTTAAATGTTATTCCCACAGTATAACCAGATATGGGATGTTTGCCGTGGTTTGCTTCCTGCGATGTCAGTTGAATACCAGTTAGTTAATTAGAATGCCAATACAGGAAGTCCTTGTCTTATGACCAGAATGGAGACCAAGAGCCCTGTTGCTAAGTGAGTCTAAGTCTAAGTTTGGATCCCAGACTGGTGTACCTGAATCCAGCGGTTTCCCTGGTTTTCAACTTGTTAGAAGAATTATCCTTCTGGGTTCAGCTCCAAGTGGGGAAAAAAGACACTGGAAACATGGAGACTGCTTGGAAAGATGATTTAATGGTGGACAGGATCACATGGTTTGAGTTCCTGAACAGAAAAAGGGACGAGATGCTGAGCGTGCCTTGGTTTTATGCCCTCTCCGGCTTTGAACTTCCTGGGGTCCAGAAAGAGTATCCTGATTGGTTGTCAGACTCCTAGGGGGTGGGGCTCTTAGCTAACTTTGCTGGCTGATGTAATCTTCCCAGGTGCCATGTGGTGAGTTTCTGTTGCTAGATGGGTCCTATTGTGTTGCAGATGATGATCCATTGACAAAGGTGGGGGTGGGGGCAGGAAGGTGGGAGCTGCTTTGTCTTTAAAATATGTTTCTCCATTTCTCAACCAGGGAAATATAATATTCTGCCTTTTTAATATTTTCTAAAATATTTCATTCTTCTAGGAAAGGGGTGGGTGCTAACTTCCTACAAACCTCTGGGCAAATGGTTAATTTGCAGTTGGCTTTCCTTGCTAGAAGTTTTATCGCCTCCAGGAATTTTCCATTGGCGTTTATACCCTTCGCAATGCTAAACGACGAAGAAGATGGCAATAGGAATTGCAACTGAGAAAGTTAGGTGATCAAGGAATGTTCCCTTCATTTAGGAGGCCTCCTTTCTAACTGCCCAGTTAAATTCCTGTCCTGTCCTGAGGAATTAACTCTCGTTGAAGATGCATTTCCAAAAATCTAAATTTAGGGTTATTTTGGTTAATGAGCCCACTACTCAAGCAGGAGACCCTATACCATTTCAGACAGGTGGCTGTCCAATGTTTTCTTATTTGTACCCTATGACTATCATTAAGTGTTGTACCTTATGATTCTTGATGAACATATCTTTTCTTTTATGTACACTGAGAGCGTATGCACCAAGACAAATTCCTTCAGTGTCCAATCACACTTGGCCAATAAAAAATTCTATTCTATTTGAAGCTCCTGGCAGATGTTTCTGTATATCTTGGGATCCTCGGGAGCTTTTCAAAGTCTTCCTCCTGATCTTCCAGCCCCTTCACCATGATGGTCAGTCTCTGCCTCTGGAAGAATGAGAAAGGGAGATTTTGTAGTAAGTGGTCAAATGTGGCCTCCCCATCCTAATTTTCATCTATTCCTCCATCCCTTATAGGGTAGGTTCTTCATCCTGGAATCATGGTTTAATCAAGTTGCTTCAAGGAATCCTGGTCCTCTCCCTCCCTCAGTCAGGGCTGCTGCCTACCTGTTTCTTTCCTCCTCAGCCTCTCCCTGAAATTCCGCAGGATTGTTGCCTTCTCCTCGCTCAACTTCTCGTTCCTAATTTGTAAGTCCTTAATTTCCTCCTTTAGATTCATTCGTTCCTCAATCATCTCGTCGAATATTTTTGAATTTCTGTAAATTATGAAAAGCAGAAATTAGCCCTCCATGATAGATGATAGCTAGATAGATGGATGGATGGATAGATGGAAGGATGGATGAATTTGAAAGAATGTCAGGATTCCCTTCTATATATTTCTCACCTCTCCAGTTGTTCTTGGAGAGTTTTGTTCTCTGTGAGGAGCTCCTGTTTCTCCCCAGCTTGCTGCAGAAGGAGGCTCTTATACTCCTTCCTCTCCACTTCAAGTTGTTGTTCCAAATTATCGATTCTGTAAGAGACAAAGACAAGAGCGAAAGTAGCCCCCTCAGGTTTTCACTCCAACCACCCAACCTGCTTAAAATTAAAACTCCCTAAAAATACCTGGCACTTTCTCACCTCCTGTGCCTCTCCTCCAGCTCCCTGCTGAGTTCTGCATCGGTGTTAGGTTGTTGGGAAGATTTGTTTCAGGAGTTCCTCCTTCGGAGTTTTGCTGTAAATACGAGAACCAGAGAGAAACTAGTCCCTTTATTTTTTTTACTAGAACATCAAACATTTTCTTCAATTGAAAAATATTTTAAAAATACCTTTATGTTTGTGTGCGTGCATAAATTCAGTGTTGCTATTTCTACTGCACCAATCTGAAATCTCTCTTTACAGGAAACAATGCTATAACCATTGTGGGAAGCCACTCCCTCCCAGAAGAATGAAATATTAAAAAGGCAGAATATTATATTTCCCCTAAAAGAGAAAAAGAAATCTTAAGGGAGACAGAAACTCAGCCCCAGCTCCCTGCCCCCAGCAGATATTTGGTGCCCATTAAGAGAGACTGGGCCATCCTATCTACAAGACAAAAGACCTTCACCTCCAGGATGTTGGGATTAAGGCATGACCCTCCAGGATATAATAGGATTATCTAACTGCAGAGCTCACTACATTGCAAAATCTCCTAAGGCCATTGCATCAGCCCAAGCTTCAACCAAACGTATCTCAGACAAACTTCGAGGATTTGCACATGGCTCCTTGGGAGTCTGACAACAGCCAATAGAATACATGTTCTTGCACAGGAACAGCAAGCTCAAGTTCAAAGCCCAAGAGAAGATATAAATACCCCTGACTCTCTACTCCATGTGTTCATCTGCCCAGGATGGACAGGACCCATGTCATCCTGTCCATCAATAAACCATCTTTCCAATCAGCCTCCATGTTTCCAGTGTCTTTCTCCCAGCTTGGAACTGAACCAGAGGGATATTTCTTCCATCAGTTTGGCTCCTCAAGATGGGACTTCAAGATAACCTGACCAACGGACCTGGCCCGGGTAAGCCTCCCTTCCTGGCACAGACCCATTGTGTCTATGGATGGATTTTTCCCAGACCTTGGCCTCAGGGTCATTGAAACTCTAAAATGTCTCCAAAACAAACAAAAAAAAAAAGACAAAAAAAAAAGTTAAAGCAATGAAAAGAAAGAAAACGCCCACAAAACAGAGTGAAGAGGGAACTGTGTCCAATTTCTTCCTTCCCTCTCTGTACTTTTGAGAACAGCCCAGAGTTATGAGGGAATCTTTAAACTTCATGTACAGGAAAAGTTTCGTTCTTGTATTTACTGTATGTCTTTAATTGGTTTTATCTGTCCATCTTTTTCCTGAAGCATGTGAATCCAGCTTCCTTTTCTCATCTGTGGTGTCCCCATTTTGTTATCTGTTTAATAACTGCAGTACTGATGTTTTTCCCCCAAACTCTGCCTGCAAGCTATCTACTCACCCCCACTCTACCTCCCCATTTCCCATCCTTCAACAATGCCTTTCCTGGGAGGAAAAAGGGAGAGGAGAGGCTTCAATGGGCCTAGCCTGAGAGAAGGGGGAGAGGAAAGGCTTCTGTGGGCCTAGCCTGAGGGAGGAGAGGATGGGGATAAGAGAGGAGAGGCTTCAGTGGGCCTAGCCTGAGGGAGAGAAGGGGAAGAGGAGAGGCTTCTGTGGGCCTAGCCTGAGGGAGGAGAGGATGGGGATAGGAGAGGAGAGGAGAGGCTTCTGTGGGCCTAGCCTGAGGGAGAGAAGGGGGAGAGAAAAGGCTTCTGTGGGCCTAGCCTGAGGGAGGAGAGGATGGGGATAGGAGAGGAGAGGCTTCTGTGGGCCTAGCCTGAGAGAGGAGAGGATGGGGATAGGAGAGGAGAGGAGAGGCTTCTGTGGGCCTAGCCTGAGGGAGAGAAGGGGGAGAGGAGAGGCTTCTGTGGGCCTAACCTGAGGGAGAGAAGGGGGAGAGGAGAGGCTTCTGTGGGCCTAGCCTGAGGGAGGAGAGGATGGGGAGAGGAGAGGAGAGGAGAGGCTTCTGTGGGCCTAGCCTGAGGGAGAGAAGGGGGAGAGGAAAGGCTTCTGTGGGCCTAGCCTGAGGGAGAGAAGGGGGAGAGGAGAGGCTTCTGTGGGCCTAACCTGAGGGAGAGAAGGGGGAGAGGAGAGGCTTCTGTGGGCCTAGCCTGAGAGAGGAGAGGATGGGGAGAGGAGAGGAGAGGAGAGGAGAGGAGAGGAGAGGAGAGGCTTCTTTGGGCCTAGCCTGAGGGAGAGAAGGGGGAGAGAAAAGGCTTCTGTGGGCCTAGCCTGAGGGAGAGAAGGGGGAGAGGAGAGGCTTCTGTGGGCCTAACCTGAGGGAGAGAAGGGGGAGAGAAAAGGCTTCTGTGGGCCTAGCCTAAGGGAGAGAAGGGGGAGAGGAGAGGCTTCTGTGGGCCTAGCCTGAGGGAGAGAAGGGGGAGAGGAGAGGCTTCTTTGGGCCTAGCCTAAGGGAGAGAAGGGGGAGAGAAAAGGCTTCTGTGGGCCTAGCCTGAGGGAGAGAAGGGGGAGAGGAGAGGCTTCTGTGGGCCTAACCTGAGGGAGAGAAGGGGGAGAGAAAAGGCTTCTGTGGGCCTAGCCTAAGGGAGAGAAGGGGGAGAGGAGAGGCTTCAGTGGGCCTAACCTGAGGGAGAGAAGGGGGAGAGGAGAGGCTTCAGTGGGCCTAGCCTGAGGGAGAGAAGGGGGAGAGGAGAGGCTTCTGTGGGCCTAACCTGAGGGAGAGAAGGGGGAGAGGAGAGGCTTCTGTGGGCCTAGCCTGAGGGAGAGAAGGGGGAGAGGAGAGGCTTCTGTGGACTTAGCCTGAGGGAGGAGAGAAGAGGGAGAGGAGAGGTTTCTGTGGGAACTTTTTGGGAAAAGTGTATTTTTGATGTTTGATGGCTAATAACACCACTTTTTTTTTTGGGAGTACTACCATTGTGACCTTGGGATACAATAGGGGTCATAAATATGAACCAGTTGCCAATCTTCTGAATTTAGATCCCATGATCACGGGGATGCTGCAAAGGTCGTAATTCTGAAAAACAATCGTCGCTTTTTTCAGTGCCGTTGTAACTCTGAATGGTCACTAAGCTAACTGTTGTAAGTTGAGAGCTACCTGTATTCATGGCCCCAAAAATCATTCTGCCTTTATGACTGTATAACGGATGCATTGATTTAAAAAATGGAACAGAATGCTTAAAAAGTTCTTCACAATTTATTCAAACCGTTGGTAGATCCTTGAGAAAAGCCTCTGCAAGTTTTTTTTTTTAAATATAAAATAATTCAGCGATAGTACGCATTCCATTTAATAATAAATAGCCAAAGATATATGGACTTGACAATCATAACACTCTCATAATGCTTCTGTGCAAATCAAGCGGCTGAAATAATAGACAGAAATCAACAAGAAACTAAAGTATGGATTAAATAACTCATGATCACTATTTTGATCTATACACTTGGAATGGCTGCCAGCCAGTGGTGGGTTTCAAATTTTTTTACTACTGGTTCTGTGGATGTGGCTTGGTGGGTGTGACATGGCTTGGTGGGTGTGGCTTGGTGGGTGTGGCAGGGGGAGGATAATGTAAAATCTCCATTCCCACCCCACTCCACGGGAAGGTTACTGAAAAATCCCCATTTCCTCTCGACCAGTTGGGACTTGGGAGGCAGAGAATAGATGGGGCCGGGGCCAGTCAGAATTTTTACTACCGGTTCTCTGAACTACTCAAAATTTCCGCTACCAGTTCTCCCGAACTGGACAGAACCTGCTGAAACCCACCTCTGCTGCAAGCCTTCACAACACATCTGGGGCCAAAATTATTTTTCTTTAGCTTCGTCATCCCAGGTTCAAGGCCGTGGATGAACTTCTTTTTTTTGGAAAATGTTCTACATCTGTTGGATATCTACCTTTAGAGTGGGTTTTGGTGATTTCTTGATTTGTGACAAAATCTGACTTTGCTTATCTAGGTGACTAAATCTGAGCTGATGAGGTTTGGTGAGGTGAGAGAAATAGCATTCTTTGAAGGACCCATGAACCTATTAGGGTTACAAAATGTCTCATTGGACCTCTATAACTAGTTTTAGAATTACTGTGCGTGGCAGGAGTGAAATGCTCCCGGTTTGGACCGGATCACCCGATCCGGTAGCGATGGAGGCAGGTGGTTCAGAGAACCAGTAGCAAAAATCCCTGCCCCCCCCCATGCCCAGCTGAGCCGCGCAATCATCAGAGGCTTTTTAAATTATTTTTAAAAGCATTTTTTCTACAACCTCTTTTGCTGAAAAAATGCTTTTAAAAGTAAAAAAAAAAAGTTGGCCACACCCACTCAGTCATATTAACCCCCCCACAAACCACACCCACAGAACCGGTAGTAACAAATTTTACATTTCACCACTGGTGTGTGGATAAGGAGAAGGTTTAGAGCATCCTGCCTGAACGTAGCTACCCTCTGTTCTTTTCAGTGATTGGCGAATACAACTAACAACATTTTGGCAACCTGATAACATTTAGAGATGAGAAAGGCCTTCTTGGATACTGGAGAAAGTCTAAATCACAAGAGAAGCTTGCAAGCACCGTCATATAACAAAAGAAAGAGGAATCACCCAGGAATTCTTGGAAAAGTTATTGGATTTCCTGAGGAAGTGCAGGACAAGATCCACAAGAACTGTCTCATCATCTTCATTGGGTGGAAAACAAACTGATGAGGCCCTCAAGGCCTCATGTTCCACCACTTGAAGGAAAAGGGCTTCCGGCGGACATTTGTGCCACAATGAACATCGCCATATTTGAGGTAGTAAGTTCCGTAGTCATCGATGAAATTGCAGGACAACCCTAAGGGCTCCAGGAGACGTCGGACCTCTTTCTCCAAGCAGCATTGGCCGTCAATGATGGGTCCAAACGGCTTTGGGATGCCCAGATGTTTCCCCAGAACAATCATATTTACCTGCAGAAGGGACATAACCATTGGTCTAATAGGTTAGATTGCAATCAGTTCTCATGATTTTTGTACCCTAGTGAAATTCAACGGCAAGGAGACCGATATGTTTTAACTGTCCACTTCTCCATCTACTTTTAAAGTCAAGACGGTTATGTCCTTAACGAGGGACAACTAATTAAGCTTTGATTTGCCATCTGTATCCCAGCACCTTCAGTGGGATTGTATGGCTTCACGTTAGAGCTTGTTCAGAAAGAAATGAACACAAGACACAGCTCTGGATTCACCCAATATTTTGAGTCTATAGAGATTCTCTGTCCTCCAGGTCATGGTTGTCCCAAAGGTGCTTTTTCAGGAGGCAACTGGACTTCCTTGTTTTTTCTTTTGAAGACGTTTCGCTTCTCATCCAAGAAGCTTCTTCAGCTCTGACTGGCTGGTGGGGAATGGAAGGATTGATACTCCTTGCAGACAGCTGGTCATTTGCATCCTTTTTGAGGGTCATCGAGGCCACCTGGAGATTTTAACTGTGTCCTCAGGGTCACCCGAGGATACTCCTGGTTCCTGTAGTCTTTTTCCTCTGGAAATCCATTCCACCTCCCACACCTTCTAAAAGGATGCAAATGACCAGCAGCCTGCAAGGAATATAAATCCTTCCATTCCCCCACTATTCTATCAGAGAAGAAGCTTCTTGGATGAGAAGTGAAACGTCTTCAAAAGAAAAACTTGCCTCCTGAAAAAGTATCTTTGGGACAACCAATATTTAGAGCCAAAAAAACCTCTTAGGGCAGGGGTCCCCAAACTCTGAGCAGTGGCCTACTCAGAATTGGGCTGACTGGAGCACACGTGCACGTATGCACACAGGTCGCACAAGTGATGAGCCATTGGGCACTTGCCTCCGTGCCAGCTTGCCACTCATGGAAGTTGAGCTGCACGTGTTTGTGCCAGCCCACCCTTTGCTCAAGAGTTGCGTGCGCGCTGGCCTGCCACTTACGGAGCCCAGTTCCCCTCTTCTCCCCACAGCTGGGCCAGCAAGCCCCAAAGGATTGGTTGTCTTAAGAGTTTCTTGTGAGGTGTGAATCCACACCATCCTTGCCGTGAGAAGGGTTGGCAACCAGAAGGTCAAATCTGGTTCTCGGTGAGATGCCCTCTGCTTCTCCAAAGAAAAATTGAAGTTGGATTAAGCTGAACCTTTGACTGGTAAGGCCTGCTAGATCACTTCTTGGCTGGTTCTTCTCAAAACACATTTGGGACTGGAATCTTACCATGTCTGGGAAATAAGCATCAGCGGGATCCTTGAGCACTTCAGAAACGGAATACTTAGGAAACGGGAGATGAGACTGAAAAAGCTGAGGTATCTCAACAATGTCTTTCTCTGTCAGACCCAGCTCCTCCTTAAGGGTTTTTCTGTTCCAATCAATATACTTCTGAAAAGGGAAGAAAGAGAAGCTGCAGTGAAAAGGAAGGAATAGGGATAGGCCATACTTAATGTTTCAGTGTCCACAAAGTGAGTTCAATGAAATTGAATCAATAACATTGAATTGTTAACTAGGGCATACAAAACCTTTGCCAGACCAATTCTCGAATACAGCTCATCTGTCTGGAACCAGCACTGTATATTGGACATTAATATAATTGAGCGAGCCCAGAGGTATTTCACGAGAAGAGTCCTCCACTCCTCTGCTCACAACAGATGACCTCCAGGGTACTGCAACTATCATAAAAGTGTGCCAGATGTCAAATATCTAAATGTAAATCATGGGGATGCTTCAACGGTCCTAAGTGTGAAAAATGATCCCTAAGTCACTTTTTTCAATGCCGTTGTAACTTTGAATGGTCACTAAGCAAACCTATAAATCCGGATTGCCTATAATCCCTGGAAGTTTTAGAATTTGACCCTGTTTTGCTACCAGAGGATCTACAGAATAAGATGATCTACTTTCCATGTCCAGAACAGGAAAACTTGAGACCAGAATTAATAGCACACAATGCCGTTTTTTAAATTTGAGGTTAAATCTAAAGACATTTTCCCCCAAGATCAGGTCTGTGGAACAGAGCTTATGAGGGATGTGGATTCTCCATTTCTGGTGTGTTTTTTTAAAAAAAGCTGGAGAGCCCTTTCTCGCGAATGGTTGGATTGGCAAGATAAGGTTGGACTATCGTAGTTAATCAGCTTGTCTCTGCATCCATCACATTTCCCACCACTGTCTCTTGTTAGATTTCTGGAGATTGTTGCTCATCCAGGTCATAGTTATCCCAAAGATGTTTCTTTTTTCAAGAGGCAACTGGACTTCCTGGTTTTCCTTTGAAGATGTTTCGCTTCTCATCCAAGAAGCTTCTTCAGCTCTGACTGGCTGGTGGGGAATGGAAGGATTGATACTCCTTGCAGACAGCTGGTCATTTGCATCCTTTTTGAGGGTCATCGAGGCCACCTGGAGATTTATCTGTGTCCTCAGGGTCACCTGAGTTGTGCTCCTGGTTCCTGTAGTCTGCAATTCTTTTTCCTCTGGAAATCCATTCCACCTCCCACACCCTCTAAAAGGATGCAAATGACCAGCTGCCTGCAAGGAATATAAATCCTTCCATTCCCTACTATCTTGTCAGAGCTGAAGAAGCTTCTTGGATGAGAAGCGAAACGTCTTCAAAAGAAAAACCAGAGAGCCCAGTTGCCTCTTGAAAAAGCACCTTTGTCTCTTACTAGCATCTGAACAAAACAATGAATAATCCCCTAGTCCTCTTCGTTGGATCACTCGGTCTCCAGATTTAATAGTAGAATAGATGGGATCTTACCTGGCACTTGTCATTATACTGCCGTAACAATCTGTCAGCTATAATTTCTGATATGGAACGGGGCCTATGATCCTGCCCACCCTGGAATTCAAGTCCTGTTCAGAAAAAAAAGAAAATGATTTGTTTTTTTGGTGTGGGTGTGTCTTTTAATCTCCAGGTAGAAGTCCAGTGCTTGGTTTAACAGATTAACAGAGTTGGAAGGGACCTTGCAGGTCATCTAGTCCAACCCTCTGCCCAAGCAGAAAAGACCCTACATCTGCCTCTACCTAGGATCGAATTCACAACCTCCTGATCGTGAGGCAAGAGCTCCAGCAGCTGTGATCTGATGAAAGGGACTATTGTAAGTATTCTATAATATAAAAATGTTTATTTTAGCAGTGTAAACACAGAATTCCCCAACATGTCTGTCTTTCTGGGGGCATTTCCATGGTCCAGTTGGCATGGCCCACAAATTGGGGACCCCTGGTTTAGAGCCTCACTTGTTCCCATTGTTGTGGTCCGCCAGCAGCCTGCGGAGCTGGCAGAGGAGTCAGACAGCGATGAGGCTGAGGAAGAACATGGGCCAGTCCTGGAGGCTGGGGAAGGCCCGGATGAGGGCTCTGCATCGGAGGCAGAGATGGGGCCAGGGCCATTGGGGAGTGATGTGCAGACTCCAGAGCCTCCAGAGGCTGACAGTAGAGAGGCAGAGGAACAGGAGGAGCCTGTTCCTAGTGCACGTATGAGAAGAGCTGCCAGAAGGCAGGAGCAGTTAAAGCAGAGAGGATGACTCGGGAGTAGGGCCAAGAGATGATTGGCCCCTCTCATAAGGCTTAAAAGACCAGCAACGGCTCTTGGGCTCTTTGTTGGAAAACAACGTTGAGAGAATTGCTTCTTGTTTCACTGTATTCGTTTCTTGGCGGGGTCTTCTGCTTCTGAACTTTTGCCAAGAAAAGCCTTTGGCAGTTTTGCCTAATTATATCAAGGTTGGTGATAAACTGAGGAATGTTGTTTTGAAGAATTTGCTTTAATTTAGTTTGGACTACGCTGAGAATGAGTTAATTCTCAACTGTTCTAATAAAGTCTGTTTGTTTTCGAACTGTATGCATTTAATACTAACTACTTGGGCCTGGGTCACAACACCCATTGGGGAGAAAGACCATATTGGAAGGGAGGAAACACAACCCCTTTTAATGCAATGATTGACTTCATCCTTTTCACAACAAGGGACCTGTTTGCAATCTTTTTTTCCCCAGTTATCTTTCATTTCAGTTCTGATCTCCTGCAGAGGAGACGATGAATCACCCGACCTTCAAGCATTTTGGCTTTCCCGTGTCCTTCCTTTTCCTTCTCTTCCAGCAGTCTGAAGCAGGCTCTCGGGCTGGCCAGCAGCAGACGGAAACCCTGGAACGAGGGAGTAAGAAAGGGAGTAAGGCAGGTAGGACAGAGAGAAGACTAGCAGCCTAAAAATTAGAATTTAGCAGCTTAGGAGAAGCTTCATGCAGGGCAGACAGCCGGAAACAGCTGAACAGACACTTTGACCGTCATAACAGGTTTTCGTCCATCGCACATGTGAAGAGAAGAGTGGTAAGTTATTTCAGCCTTTTCTCATGTCAAGCATTTTAGGGAAGAGGTTATCTGTGATGGAACTCTGCTGTTTAATCAGTTCCAGTTCTTGGTCTGTGCAAGCCCTAGAGTGTTGTGGCCCGTCAGCGGCCTGTGCTTACTCGAGAGTAAGGCTTGGGGCTAATTGGACACTCCCCTAGTCTATTTAAGGCTATTTAAGGAAGGATGACGACTGAGGCAATTTGCAGGGAACAACTCTGTTCATATCCCTTCGCGTCTTGATTCCAGAAATGTTTGATTCGGCTCTTGTTTCTCTCTTGTCAGTTTTCCTGCAAATTGCTTCTGGGCATTCTGCCAACCACAGTAAGATTACGGTTATCTGAAATACTGTGCCTTAGAATTGAGTTATTATTCTTTGGATTCTTGTCGGCTGTTAATGAAGTTAAATTAACAGCCCTTGTTCAGAAAACACTGATTTAAACTGTACTTATGTTCGAACAATTACTAAGAAAGCTCATTAGTAGTCCTTAATTAGTAAACTAAGGTTTGTACGGATTTTGTGTGTGCTGCATTCTTTGGGGTCCGTAGCTGGGGCAGAACATAGAGATTAACAGCTGGATCAAAAATCCACCTTGAAAACAGTCACCTGTTCAAACCTTAGGACCTTATTCCTTCTGAATATCCCTCCTTTGGGTTGGACTAGAAGACCTCCAAGGTCCCTTCCAACTCTGTTATTCCTTTGGTAGCAAAGCAGGCTCTGCATTCAGTTAGAACTTCAGTGAAGCTCCCTAAAAGAGCTCAGAATTGCAATATACCAATCGGTCGTCCCAAAGGAGCTTTTTCAAAAGGCAGCTTGGCTCTGTCTTTCCTTGAAAACGTTTCCCTTCTCATCCAAGAAGCTGCTTCAGTTCTATCAGCTGTTCTCTGTTCTATCTTCAGTTCTAAGAACCGTGGTGGCGCAGTGGTTATAATGCAGTACTGCAGGCTAATTCTGCCGACTGCCAGCAGTTCGATTCTCACCAGGCTCAAGTTTAACTCAGCCTTCCATCCTTCAGAGGTGGGTAAAATGAGGAGCCAGATTGTTGGGGACTCTCTAAACCGCTTAGAGAAGGCTGTAAAGCACTGTGAAGCAGTATATAAGTCTAAGTGCTATTGCTATGAGAAGCAAAAGTCCAGTGGCCTTTTGAAAAAGCGCCTTTGGGACAATCATGATCTGGATGACTGAAAACTTCCATATATCAGTGTGAGTTGATTTATAGACCTAATAGACCTCCAGGCTCTTAAGAATGGCAAGTTGAAATATTTGGTTAGGCCAATTATTTTGAGGGGATAAGAGCAGGGGTGAAATCCAGCAGGTTCTGAAAAGTTCTGGAGAATGGTAACAGAAATTTTGAGTAGTTCAGAGAACTGGCAAATGCCACTTCTGGCTGGCCCCAGAGTGGGGTGGGAATGGGGATTTTGCAGTATCCTTCCCCTGGAGTGGGAAGGGAATGGAGATTTTGCAGTATCCTTCCCCTGCCATGCCCACCAAGCCATGTCCACAGAACCGGTAATAAAAATTTTTTGATCTTTCTCGGGTGCGGAGAAAAGTGACCCTGTGAAGGGACTGAGCCTGCTGCTCAACTTGGAATCCGAGAGGCTTCCTTTCCACCCAGCCACTGGCGCACAGCGCCGGAAAGACCTCCGGTCGCTGCCGCCATCTTTGCGCATCCGCAGCTTTCTTCTCACCAGCTGAAGGAGTTTTCGGCGCCCTGCAGTCAGGCGGCTAAAATAATTCTTTGCTCCTGTCAGTTTACCATCCGATGGACGCGTCAGGTGGGTGAGCGAGCAGCGACCAGGAACCGGTTCGGGGGTGTGGCCTGGCTGCCGTTATTACCGGTTCGGAGAACTAGTTCCTAAAGTTACTACCTGTTCGGTAGAACAGGGCAGAACCGGTAGCAACCCACCACTGATTCTGCCTCCAAAGCTGCCTTGACATCACTTAAAGCTCTTTCAAGTTTGAAAGAAGGGTTGGGATCCATACCTTCTGATCTGGAGCAGGTACAAAGGTGAGGAATTCATCTACGTGTCCCACATAGAGCCAATCCGTGTAGAGTTCAATGGGAGATTGTACAACTTGGTGGTAGAGGAAGTCCTTGACAAGTTTGGACATTGGGTTATTGTTCCTAAAAAAAAAAAAAAAGTGGGATCTGAATTCTTATGGTGTGCTAAACCATGATTTGTTAATGTACCAAAACTGATCGATTCACACCACCCTAAGTCATAACAGTATGCATTATAAGATAAGCCACCGTGATCAATGTTTTACTACCAGAGAACCGTAAAAACTTTAAAAAAGTTTTTAAAAAGGTTCCCAAGCTGGCGCACCACAGCTGATTCCTCCCCTCACTGTCCTACTTACCTTCCCAAGCCTCTTTTACTGCGCATGCGCGCACACAGCACACCTTTGGTGCATGCATGCACGCAGCACACATTTTGGCACACAATGTATATGCGCAGCCAGCGAACCGGTAGCAAACGGGTTCAGATTTCCCCACTGGAATGTTCTTATGGTTTCCAGTCATCACTTACCTAGGAAAAGATGCCCCTATTAGGATACGCCCAAGGGGATATTCCTTATGTTTGACATTCACCGGAGGGCTGACTTCAAGATTCCCAAATGAGTCCAGGCTAGAATCAGACTCCTTGGAGTTTAGTTCCCGTTTTACATACCCAAAATCTGGACCCTTGGGGGGAAAACGAACAGCTGTGTCAAACACACTTTATTCAATCTTCTTTTTATCCATGCTGTATTTGTGAGATTGAGTTAGATAAAGGTAAAGGTAAAGGTTCCCCTCGCACATATGTGCCAGTCATTCCCGACTCTAGGGGGCGGTGCTCATCTCCGTTTCAAAGCCGAAGAGCCAGTGCTGTCCGAAGACGTCTCCGTGGTCATGTGGCTGGCATGACTCAACGCCAAAGGCGCACAGAATGCTGTTACCTTCCCACCAAAGGTGGTCCCTATTTTTCTACTTACATTTTTTTCTTACATTTTTTTTTTGTTTTACATTTTTTTTAAGGAACGGGAGCTCACCCCATTATCTGGCACTAGGGATTCGAACCGCTGAACTACTGACCTTTCGATCGACAAGCTCAGCATCTTAGCCACTGAGCCATCGTGTCCCTGATTTGAGTTAGATAAATGCATGTAAACCTTGCTCCAGTCTTTCTGAGCTATCAATCTCATCTTTCATGAAGAGAACATCAGTAAGGCAATCATGACATTTGATGTTTTTATGAATAAGCGTTGAGTATAAAATGCAGAACTGTGATTTTTCAACAGCCAAGATCAAAGCGGGGTGGGGAGGAGGGGGGAAACCACTTACCAAAACCTCCTTAAAGGGGAAATCTTTGAGCCCTCTGTTCCTTGGGGAGTCAAAGACAACCGGAAATGTTTTGTGGGGAGCCTGGATGTACCCAAACTCCATCTCATCCTAAATTGACAGAAGAGTTGAAATAAAATTAAAAAGGTGTCACCTGTTATTAGATGATAGAAAGTTATGTTTGGATTTCAATCTGTTGAGACGCAAAGCAAAGCAATTCAGGATTGTTTACTACAGTTACTTTTTTTTTACAAAAATGTTTTAGGCATAGTTTTGAGGGATCCAGGCTACTCTCTGAACTGGCTTGTTTTCTTGCAGACGTTTCATTACCCAAACTAGCAAGATCAGTGAGCACCCCCATAGTCATCCTTGTCAGAATATTCATGACTGGGAAGACACGGTAACAAGGTCAGCCAATGAATAGGCATAGCAACCAAGTCAGCCAATTGGGAGCTGAGACAGACTGGAGCCAAGGCGTGTCTTAGTCTGCAGCTTCTGATTCTGTGCAGAGAAGAGAAACTGAAACCAGTGTGTGTGTGTTAAGCTCACTGCCGTACTCTGTGTGTGAACATGTCTGCTGATCTGAGCTGAAGAATCAACTGTTGGTATTGTAAATATACTTTATGTGTTATTATGAATATAAAGAAGTTAATGAATCCAGCTGATTCAGTTATCTGTGTATGCTTCTGGATTTGATTTTTGCAAGAAACTCTGATAATCCTTCTCCTCTCTGCATACTCCACTCCCTTCTAGCACCGATGAAGTTAACTAGCTGGTTAATGAAACATCTGCAAGAAAACAAGGAAGCTCAGAGAGCACCAAGGACCCTATAGTTTTCCTCCTCTTCCTCTCTGCACATCCCAAACCTCCTAGCACTGATGATTTTGCCTAATTAGGGTCATGAAATGTCTGCAAGAAAGCAAGGAAACTCAGAGAGCACCAAAGACTCCTCATGTCAACCCTGACCTACAAATATTCTTTATTGGCATAGTTTTTAATTGCAACAGTGTGAAAATAATTGGGAACCGTGAATATGGATAAGAATTTCAATTGAATCTTTGATGTTATCACACCAATGGATGATGCTACATAGCATTGATTAAAAACATCTCTGGAGAACTACAGGAGTGGTGCAGTGGCCTAAAGGTGGATCTCTCGCCTCACAATCAGGAGGGCTGTGAGTTCGATCCTAGGTAGAGGCAGATATTTCTCTCTCTGGGCACAATGAGAATATATCTGCTGAACAAAACTGCATTGGCAACAGGAAGGGCATCCATCCATTAAACACTCTGCTAGCTACATTCAGTTGCCCAAACTCCACCCCACAAGGATTTATGGAGTCATTAAAAGATGAGGATGATGTACAGGATAAGAACTACCCCAGTTTCTTCTCCAGTAGGATCAGGATCTCGTTTGGCAGACCACTTATCCCAAACAGCCTCTCGTCTGTGACCTACCTGGATCCATCTGTCGCCTCGATTTTTCTCTTCTGGGCAGATAATATATTTGCATCCAGCTTTTATGGCAAGCTTCCTTATATGTTCCACAAAATCCTTATTGTCACCAACACTGTACATTCAGAAGAATAGATGGAGATGTTAGAAGACAGAAATAGAGGAGAGAGAAGGGTGTTAACGGTGGGTGTACGGGAAACTTCACCCATGTAAGTTGGTCCATGACTCCTTACCTGCAGACGTAAACAGAAACTGGCTGCAAAGTGTTTGGGGTCATAATCCATGGAGCAACCCGGAAGACCAATGTATCCGTGAAAATGGAAGTTTCTGGGACCTCCTGAAGTAGGAAAATACAGGAGATGAGGACCAAGAAATATGTTGAATTCCAGAAAGATGCCTCTAAACATTTAAAAGTTACAAGATTTAGGAGTACAGAGCTAAGCTTGGAGTAAAAATACAGAAAGAGAGGTACACCTTCTCTTTAGTTCAGGAAAGGAAGAGGGGTGAGAAAGAAACTCAAGATAATACCATCTTGATCCTCTTTACTAAAGGAAATGTAAATTTAAGATTTCAAGATTCTGTTCATCGTACTTTCTACAGTAATAAAATAGAATTCCTATAGTTTTTTTGGGTCTGTTTCCTGATCTGCCTTCCCTTGAATAGCTGATAAATGAAAAAGAAGTGAAGAAGGTCCTAGAGAGAGGTCCTATGATGAAGATTGGAAAAGCATTCCAGATGCTTTCTCAGTTTCCCTGTCAAAGGTGCTTCTTTCCCACTCTTCCCCATGTTCTCTTTGATGTTCTCCATACCTTCTTGGCGGGCTCCAGGAGTGAAGCGTGGAAAGTGACAAGCCCTGAAAAGTCAATGTCTGGAAATTTCAGCCCTTCCACATAGAAAATGCTCTCCACTTGACCAAGGTTCCGTTTCACATGGTAGGAGATTTTTTCGGATCCTAGAACATGTTTGTAATATCTCTGTTCCTTCTTGTCTGTGAATCAAAACCCAATCTTGTTATTCATTTAGTTGTTTCTTGAAAACAAAGTTACATATCTTCATCCAGATCTGGCAGTTTGAGGCAATCTGCGTAACTAAACCCAAGCACATTAACCCTTTGAGATCCAAAGGAACTTGTGGTTGGTTATCATTGGTGACCAGAGAGCTGGTCAAATTTTTGATCTGTCGTAACAAAATTATGGACCTCCTTTTTGGTGCAGGACGAGGAAGATAGGTATCGGCTTGATTCTCTCGAAAATACTCCCTTGTTTTCTCTAGGTGAGGAGCATAGAAAGGAAATCTGGGCTCCATAGTTACTTAAAAGAATCTACAATAAGCGTTCTCCTTTGGGTCTTGGCTTCATCTGCCTATGGCCTGGAGCCCAACGGCCTGCTGGCCTTCAACACTTACCTTGAGCGTAGAAGACTCCCACTCTGTCACAATCAGCTTTCGAGATGTGGAGAGTCAGCTGGTAGTTTGCAAAAACTTCATTAGGTCCCTGAGTTGTCAGGATCATACGGGACATGTCCTGGAGGTCTAAAAGTAGAACCAATTCAATTCCAATTGAGCCAGAAACTCTTGACTTCTGGCCTCACGCTTTCATTAACCACAATCAGGTTTTAGTTTGGTTGATGAGCTCAGCTATTCACAATTTTTTACTTGTCTGATCATGAGACCACGGCATGACCATACGATAATTTTGGGATATTATATAGGCCATCAAGCACCCATTCTGTGACCAGCGTAAATGCAACTAGTTTCTGTGGTTCGCCAGCAGCCTGCAGAGCTGGCAGTGGAGTCGGACAGCGATGAGGCTGAGGAAGAATATGGGCCAGTCCTGGAGGCTCGGGGAGTGATGTGTGGACTCTGGAGCCTCCAGAGGCTGACAGTAGAGGCAGAGGAACAGGAGGAGCCTGTTCCTAGTGCACGTATGAGAAGAGCTGCCAGAAGGCAGGAGCAGCTAAAGCAAAGAGGACGACTCGGGAGTGGGGCCAAGAGATGATTGGCCCCTCCCATAAGGCTTAAAAGACCAGCAACGGCTCTTGGGTTCTTTGTCGGAAAACAACGTTGATAGTCTTGCTGCACTTATCTCTCTCTTCTGCTTTTGAACTTTTGCCAAGAGAAGCCTTTGGCAGTTTGCCTAATTATACCAAGGTTGGTGATTAGACTGAAGAATTTGTGTTTGTTTTAATTTAGTTTGGACTACGCTGAGAATGAGTTAATTCTCAGCTGTTCTAATAAAGTCTGTTTGTTTTGGAACTGTCTGCGTCGATTACTACCTACTTGGACCTGAGTCACAACCCTAGTCATAAGCTAAGGTCTATCTGTACTTCAGCACCGTGTCCTTCCGTTACAACACTGCTTTTACAGATTGTGGATGTTGAAGTCCACACCTCTTCAAGCTTTGGAGGATGAGAAAAACTGCCAATGAGTGCTGCTGCCTACCTTGCTTGGACGTCAGCTTGGTGTCCTTGTTGTCTTCCTCGTTGGCTGTCGGATTGTCTCGGTCGCAGTTCACCAAGAGAATGGCACCTTTTCCATCTGGCCCCCATGTCCACTGATCCTGCAAGGATGGGAAGCCATGTCAGGGTGGACATCAGCAAAGATGGGGTCCCTCTTTGGCTCTGCCTCCCCTCAGCCAGTATTTGTTCCTCTTCCTCTTTGTGGAGGCTATGAAAAATGACCACCTTCTTCTCCAGAAGCTGCCAGAAGAGCAATCTGGGGTCTCGGGAGCCCTTGTGAAAAGCAGCATCTGCTTTCCAAGACATCCAGCGACCATTTTATTTATTATGTATTTATTCATTACATTTAGATGATTGTAATTAGCCGAGTGAGTTCATTACAGCATCACCCCAGCCAGGTGTGTCTCAGATGTGTTCGCAAATCCCATCCTCCCCTGCCAGCAGGAGAAACGGCCCACAAAGCCATCAGTTCCCCAACCTCTCTGCATTACATTACAAATATTTTCATCCCCGTCATTCTACCCCAACCAAAAATCTTATTTTAATTTAACCTTTTGCTTCCCTCCTCTGGTCACCATTCCCAAACGGTTTATATCAGCATCCAAGGACATTTCTGCAGCAGGAAAACAAAGAGGGGAGGAGGGTTTAAAACAAAGAAACTTTTAAATTATTCCCACCCAAAGCCTCTGCTTGCACCCCAGTCTCATTTTTTCTGTAAGAAAAGTATATTTCAGGCCATGTTGATTAGTTGTCTGCTTTTTCTTTTTTCCGTGTTCGATCCCAGTCTGATCAGGACAGGATTCACTGATTCAGATTTGCTGAGTTATAGCCTCCCTCCCCCCAATTCACCCTTTGGGCTGTGCCACAGCTCTGCATCCCTGCCAGCTTACCTATGCAGGTAATATGCAGAATCGCTTTGGCGATGGGGACCTTGTCGTTACATTCATAGTACGAAACTCTGATCTGCAATATACCATCAAACAGTAAATTTAAGTCAATGGATATTGGGGGTGGCACCCCTTAAAATTCTCCCTCTTTAACACACCTCTGTTTTCAACTTTATAATCTATTCTTGTAAAAAGTTTTTTTTAAAAATTTTTAACAAAGAGACAAACACACACATATTTTTTCTGAACAGAGTATTGGCCGGATCAGAAATTTAAACAATTTTTCAATTCATGTATTCCCTTTTGCCATAATATTTTTCTTTCTTTTCCCCCCTTTTTTAAAAATCCGTATTGCCCCCAACTTTATAATCTATCAGGATGCCTCTGTACAAAGGAACATTGAATTGGGAAATTTCTAATTTGCTTCTTGGTGGATAAATAGCAATAACATTTAGACTTATATACCACTTCACAGTGCTTTACAGCTCTAAGTGGTTTACAGAGTCAGCCTCTTGCCCCCCAGCAATCTTGGTCCTCATTTTACCAACCACGGAAGACCGGAAGACTGAGTCAACCTTGAGCCAGTCAGGATCAAACTGCTGGCAGTGGGCAGAGTTAGCCTGCAATACTGTATTCTAACTATTGGGAGGAAGGAAGGAAGGAAGGAAGGAAGGAAGGAAGGAAGGAAGGAAGGAAGGAAGGAAGGAAGGAAGGAAGGAAGGAAGGAATAGCACTTAGTCTTATATACCGCTTCACAGTGCTTCACAGCCCTCTCTAAGCAGTTTACAGAGTCAGCCTCTTGCCCCCTACAATCTGGGTCCTCATTTTACCGACCTCGGAAGGATAGAAGGCTCAGTCAAACCTGAGGCGCTGAGGATCGAACTGCTGGCGATCAACAGTCAGCAGAATTAGCGTGTAATACTTCATTCTAACCACTGCACCACCATGGCTCCAATGAACCTTACCTTGCATTTTTATTTATTTTATTTATTTTATTTATTTATTTATTTATTAAATTTATATACCGCCCTATTCCTAAGGGACTCAGGGCGGTGAACAGCGAACGATAAAAATACATGTAATACAAACGTTAATAAAAAACCAATTAAAATATACTAAACACTCTGGTCCTAGATAATTCAAGACATCCCAGTTTAAAATAAAATCAAAAAAGCAATATAAAGGGAAAGTTAGGCCAGGCCGGCCTGCTGAAACAGGAATGTTTTGAGGGCACGGCGGAAAGTGCGCAGATCCGGAATCTTCTGTATCTCTGGGGGGAGCTCATTCCAGATGGTGGGTGCCCTCACAGAAAAGGCTCTCCCCCTGGGGGCCGCCAGTCGACACTGTTTGGCTGACGGCACCCTGAGAAGCCCCTCTCTATGGGAGCGTACTGGGCGGTGAGAGGCTATTGGTGGCAGAAGGCGGTCTCGTAAGTACCCCGGTCCTAAGCCATGGAGCGCTCTAAAGGTGGTAACTAAGATCTTGAAGTGGTAACTAATTATCTCAGCTTTTAAAACAGTTCTTCCATTGCATCTTGACAAGGAACCTACCAAATGAATTCCTTTTTTTGTCTCCCTATCTAGAATTCTCCACTGATTTCTGTTGCCAGGTGTAAGCACTTCATCAATATCTGAACTTAATAAACCAGGCTTATTGTGGAATAACAGAGTTGGAAGGGACCTTGGAGGTCTTCTAGTCCAACCAGCTGATCCCCTTGCTCAAGACCCTATACCCGTGATGACGAACCTATGGCACGTGTGCCACCTGTGGCACGCAGGGCCATATCTGTGGGCAGACAAGTGTTGTCCGAGTTCAGCTCCAGCACCCATGTGTGCGCCGGCCAGCTGATTTTCGGGCCTTCCGGGCCCACTGGAAGTCAGGAAACGGGCCATTCCCAGCCTCCAGGGAGGTGGGGAAGGCTGTTTTTGCCCTCCCCAGGCTCCAAGAAAGCCTCTGGAGTATGGGGAGGGCGAAAAACAGGCCTACCGTGCCCACTGTGCCATTGCGTGCCAAAAGCGGGGGTTGTATGGGGGGGTGTCATGAATGCATGCACGGCAGGTGGGGCGCATTGAATTATGGGTGTGGGTGTGCGCACGCGCGACCCCCCTGTGCTCCCCCTGCTTTTGGCACGCGATGGCAAAAAGGTTAGCTATCGCTGCCCTATACCATTTCAGACAAATGGTTGTCCAATCTCTTATTAAAGGGTCATTCCGTGTCAAATGGTCCGATTTCAGAAAAGTGGCCAGCTCGACCATCACGGATTTTGATGAAATTTGGTGTGAACATGCACACAAATCCCCAATGAACATTGGTAAAGTGTTACATTTGCCGATGCAATACTTGCGGAGATATAGTCATTTGTTTGACCCCCCCATACCGCAGCCTTCAACAGTATGATTCTGAGGTTTCAGCAACTTTGAGACATGCCGTATTTTTCGGAGTATAAGACGCACCTTTTTCCCCAAAAAAAGAGGGTGAAAATCTGGGTGTGTTTTATACTCCGAATGCAGCCCTGCCCGGCTTCTCAAATGGACGTTTCAGAGGCTGAAAAAAGCATCAGAAACGACGCTTCAGAAAAGAAGCCGCCAAACAGAGCTTCAGAGGCTTTTTTTCTGAAGCTGTTTTGGAGGCTTTCAGAGGCAGGAAAAAAAAGGGGGAAAAAAGCAAGGCACAGAGCTTACAACCAAGGAACCTGTTGCTAAAATTCACCTCTGGGAACAGCTGATTGGGGGTATTCCAGGAGGCCGACCCACTTGCCAATCAGCTTTTTTCTTATTTCCCCCCCAAAAAGCCACCCTGAGTCTTCGGAGAGGGGAGGCATATAAATTGAATTAATTAAATTAAATTAAATTAAATTTTCCTCCCCAAAAACTAAGGTGCGTCTTATTTATTTATTTTATTTTATTTATTTTATGCAATTTATATGCCGCCCTATCTCCGAGGACTCAGGGCGGCTCACAATGATAAAATGCATAGTTCCTTATTAAAACGATATAAAATAAAAATCCAATTTAAAACAGTTTAAAATTCATTAAAAAAACCCCATCAGTCCAGGTGCATCTTATACTTCGAAAAATACGGTAATATCTCCGGCAATATTTTGTTGAGAGAAACAACACTTGGCCATCTTGTACAACTTGTTGTGCTCTATTAAACAAAATAGTAAAAAACAATCTCATGAGCGATCTCCATCTAGATAATTTGGAGCAAAGTTGGCCAAAAATGACTGGACTGCAGTCATTTTCGGCCAACTTTGCTCCAAATTATGGTATCTAGATAGAGATCGCTCAAGAGAATGTTTTTATTATTTTGTTTAATAGAGCACAACAAGTTGTACAAGATGGCCAGGTTTTGTTTCTCTCAACAGAATATTACCGGACATATTATGTCTCAAAGTTGCTGAAATCTCAGAGTCATACTGTGGAAGGCTGAGGTATTGTTGTGGCCCATCAGTGGCCTGTGCAGCTGGTGGCTGATTCGGACAGCGAGGAGGCTGGTGTGGTGCTGCGCCAGCAGCCTGTGTAGCTGGCACTCGAGTCAGACAATGAGGAGGCTGGAGAAGATGTGGTGCCAGAGGCGGGGATTCAGCCAGGGCCTTCAGAACCTCCAGAAGCTCCCATAGGTGAAGAGGAAGAAGAGGAGGAGCCTCTTCTCGATGCACGGGCGCGCAGAGCTGCCAAAAGGCAGGAGTGGCTCCTCAGGAGGAGGTCTCCTCGAGAGTAAGGCTTGGGGCTAATTGGCCACTCCCTTAGCCTATTTAAGGAAGGACGAGGACTGAGGCAATTTGCAGGGAACAACTTCGTTCACTCTCCTTCGCGTCTTGATCTTAGTTCTCTGCAAATTGCTTCTGGGCTTTCTGCCAACCATAGTAAGATTACGATTATTTATTCTTTGGATTCATGTAGGCTGTTAAGAAAGTTAATTAACAGCCTTTGTTTGAAAAAAAAAACTGATTTAATTTAGTAAACTAAGGTTTGTACAGACTTTGTGTGTGCTACATTCTTTGGGGTCCCTAGCTAGGGCAGAACAGGTATGGGAGTCAAACAAAATATCTCTGCAAGTATTGCATCGGCAAACGTAACACTTTACCAATGTTCATTGGGGACGTGTGTGCATGTTCACACCAAATTTCATCAAAATCCACGATGGTCGAGTTGGGAGCCTGAGACCACTTGACATGGAATGATTCCAAAATCTCCAGTGTTGGAGCACCCAGGACTTCTGCAGCCAAGTCATTTCGTTGGTTTATTTATGGTGATTTTGTTCAGGAAATCCATTTGTAGGTCTAAAAGGAAGCCTACAAATCCCAGGATCTGCAATCTTTGGCCTATGTTTCTATCCTCACCTTTTCGTCATCGACTTGGTCGCTTGGTGCATCCATGGTGGCGCTGAACTTGACGGTTCGGTCCAGCGGCCATGTTGAGTCATGGCAGGAAACCTTCGATTTTGACGGTTTTGTTGATTTTGTCATGTGATCTTCGATTTTGTAGATGTTCAGGCCGTGGGTGGCCCAGATCTTGAAGCAGGTCGCAGCCCTCGGGGCTGCCCTAAAAGAAAGACGCTGTTTGTTGCAAAACTGTTCCCATTTAAGTCATAAAAGAGATTTAAAATATGCAGTTTTCTCCCCACCTGCCTTTAATGCCTTCTGTCCCAAGAATAGTTCTGTTGGTTCATTACCAAACTTCCGCATAAATACGGGTAAGATCTGACTATTAATGTCCAATTTTGACTGAAGGAATAAGGTGCTCCCCTCTAAAATATCGTAGCAAATTCTATCCAGTCTGACAAAAACTGGGAATCTACCCCTAATGAATTTGGCAATGGAGAATTGACTTCCAGAATGCTGTTTTGGTCACCTCTGGCATATTGAAGCAGTGAAAACAGAATTGAAAGTGTGTTTCCAAGCTACCTTCTCCAAGCTAACCTGACCCAGGTAAATTCCTTCAACAATCCCAATTAGCAATTCTTTTAAACTGGGAATACTTCCTGATGTCTATGGAGATTCTCAATCATCCAAGTCCATGGTTGGTTATCCTGAAAATGTGTTTTCCCAAAAGGCAAGTGCTGTCTTGCTGTCATCTTCGAAAACGCTTCGCTCTTAGAAGCTTCTTGGATGAGAAGCGAAATGTTTTCCAAGAAAATAAGAAAGTCCGATTGCCTTTTGGAAAAAAAGCACTTTTGGAACCAATTCTTCTGATGTGAAGATGCGGTGATGGGCAAGTGTTGAGCATCTCTGCAGGAAGACCAGTAGATTGTCCCCTGAATAATTATGACTATATTTTATCTTTTGCACTGAGAAGTGGTGAAAACTTGACATTGTAGAAACAGACGCTGGGAGACGAGAATTAACACATTTAGTCTGCATTTAGCTGCCTTTTTTTATTGTCCGTTTCCTGCTCTGTCTGTCTTCCCTCTCCACATTTAGTTCCCTTCTAATCCGAATTTAGTTCTTCGGTTTTATAAAGCGGTTCTCCAGGTTTTTCTGCATTGTGCGTGGTCAAAAAACAAAGGTAGAAAGAAGATCTATAAACTTGTTTTAAAAATGAGAAGGAAATGGGTTTTATACAGGGGTGAAATGCTCCCAGTTCCGACCGGATCACCCGATCCGGTAGCGATGTTTCCGGCCTCTGGAAGGCCTCCAGGGGGATGGGGAAGGCTGTTTTTTGCCCTCCCCAGGCTCCTAGAAAGCCTCTGGAGCCTGGGGAGGGGGAAAAACGGGTTTACCGGGCCCACCATATCATCGCATGCCAAAAGCAGGGGGAAGTGTGTGGGGGGGTCACATGCGCATGCACGGGAGGGCGGGGCACATTGAATTATGGATGGGGGCACCCACACCCGCAACCCCCTCACACTCCCCCCACTTTTGGCATGTGACGGCAAAAAGGTTAGCCATTACTGCTCTAGTACATAACCAAACAGACAGTGTCATTTTTTTAAAAAAAAAGTTGGATTAATAGTTCATATGAAATCTACATTATATACATACATATATATATATACACATCTTCAACTTCCTTATAAACATTAATTATTTTTATTTCTGTTATCTTTCCACCCATACCATTTATCCCACACCGCATAGTATTCTTTTTCCTTTAATTCTAAGGTTAGTTCATTCATTTCAGCACATTCAAATATTTTTTGAATAATCAATCCCTCTGGTGGTAAGTTATGTTCTTTCCAATATTGCGCAAATGCAATTCTTGCTGCTGTGAGTATATGGAGAATCAAATAATTTCTTGTTTTTTTTATCATACTTGGTTTTTAGTATACCCAGGAGAAATGTTTCCGGAATTAACTCAGTTTGGCAGTTTGTTAAATCTTGTAAACAGTGTTGTATTTTGCTCCAATACTTCTTCGCTTCGGGACATAGCCACCACGCATGAAAGAAGGTACCCTGGTGGTGATTACACTTCCAACACTTGGGACTTAGGTTCGGGTATATTTTAGCCAGCCTTGCTGGTGCTAGGTGCCAACGATATAGCATTTTATATTGATTTTCCTTGTATGCTGCCAATTTTGTTAATGTATAATTTTTATTCCAAATCGTTTCCCATTCATCTAAGTTTATATTGTGCCCCATATTTTTGGCCCATGCTAGTGTTTATTCAGCACATCCGTGCGCACATACACATTCACCCCTGCGGCAACCACAACAACCCCTTAAGAAGCCCAGTCTAAAACTGACAGGTGTTACTTTAATAAATCATGACAATTACAGTAACCACAGATAGCAGCATTTTTAAAAAAATAAATAAATCACCAAATAGAAAGAGGAAGAACTTAAATATTGTTCAGTTTTGCCATGATTCCCATCCAAGTTTGAGATAACTAACTGAATGACCTAGGACAGGGTCAGCAACCTGTGGCTCTGGAGCCGCATGTGGCTCTTTCACCCCTCTGCTGCGGCTCCCTGTCACTCAAAATATGCGTCACAACCGCCAATGTGCAAAAACCGCCAGCACGCAATTGAGCTTTTCAATTTGAGCTTTTCAACACCCCCCAGTAGGCCAACCATGGATAAATCCAAGAGAAGAAAAAAGTTTCAGAAGAAAGCAGAATGTTTAATTCAACTACTTAGGCTAGTTTTGTGGCCGCTCAAGAAATAGGCAGGCACAGGAAGGGTTTTGTGGCTCCCGGTGTTTTCCTTTCTGTGGGAAATGGGTCCAAACGGCTCTTTTGAGTGTTTAAGGTTGCAGACCCCTGACCTGGGATATTTTATCCCATCCCATCCTATTTTTGCTAACGAGATGGGTTGTGTTGCCATCAATTTTGAATGGAAATTCAATGGGGCCCTTCCCTTCTCTCTGTGAAACCAAGCACTTTTTTCCTGCTGCCTGTCAGGAAACGCCTTGAGATAGCAAAACAAATGATAGCATCGCCCATTACCCTTGCAGATTACCTGGTCGATGACTTCCTTGCAAACACGGAGGGATATTCAGAAATCTGGGCATGGGGGGGAGGTTTCTTTCTTTCTTTTTTTGAGATACCTCACTCACTTCTAGAGATGCTTTCAGACTGTTTAGTGAACCACTCCCAACATCTCCCCACCCCCGCACCCCGCCCGGCAGTTAAGAGTTGGGAAATGAAAAGACGCATGCCTTAATCTTTTTCTCTGTTAAATGTTTTTCTCTGTTCGCCTTCTGCGAAACTGAACGGATCTTTTAAGTTCTTCTTTTCTTCTGTAAAATCAGAAAACATTGTGTAATAGGAATGTCCACATGCTTACCCATGGATGTCCAGGAAGAGCTCGGTGCCCAGAATATGGACAGTGCTGATAACCTTCTCCGTTGAAAACCGGACACACCTTTGCTTAGCCATGCTCGGGGATTTTTTTCCCCAGTCCTCCAAGGAGAGTTTGCTGGCTCTGGAATAAACATCCCTGAGCTGGAAGAAGAGATTTAAAAGGGGGAAAGGATGGGGTGGGTACCTGCTCAGCTCCTCTATCTTGCCATCTGATAGGCTGGTGCATATCTAATCCCTCCTCCTGGGCTGGGGTGGCTGATTTGGGAGCTGGCAGCCCATGTTCTCACCCAAAGAGAGTTATCAGCTTCCACCCCAGGGAGGAGGAGGAGGAAGTAGCCAGAAGACGTGGAGACTTCCTAGAAAGTAGCCCGACTCTTGACTGAGACAGATTCATTCATTTGTTTGTTTTTGATTTCTATAATGCCGAGGTGGCGCAGTGGTCAGAGTGCAGTACTGCAGGCTATTTCTGCCGATTGCCAGCTGACTGCAGTTTGGCAGTTCCATTCTCACCAGGCTCAAGGTTGACTCGGTCTAACATCCTTCCGAGGTGGGTAAAATGGGGACCCAGATTGTTGGGCGGGGGGGGGGGGCTGATAGGCTGACCCTGTAAAAAACCAACGGGGGAGCCAGATTCACTGAACAACTGTGTGGCTAATTTAAGAACTGCAGTGATTCATTTAATAACTCTGGCAAGAAAAGTCGTAAAATAGAGCAAACGTCTCACTTGGCAGCAGGAATTTTGGGCTCAACTGTTGTCGTAAATCGAGGGCTACCTGTAACACACACACACACACACACACACACACACACACACACACACACAACACACACACACACACACACACAGAGGGTTTTTTTTGACAATTACACTAATGCTAGAAGGTGTTGAATGTACACCCATGGTTCTTTTCCAACAGCTTTAAGGAGCGATGATGAAATTTGCCAGCTTCTGTTACGCCAATTAGCACCTTCTGTGAGATAAAACAAAAATTATTTCCCGTCAAGTCAGGAGGTGGCCATTTTAAGAGGCTGCCTTTACTTTGAAGTTTTTGATCTCCCTTTCAGATCATCTTTGGGAAAGACAGACAACAGCCATAGCTTCCTGGTCAGTGGTGGGTGTCAAAAAAATTTACTACCGGTTCTGTGGGTGTGGCTTAGTGGGTGTGGCGTGGGTGGCTTGGTGGGCGTGTCTTGGTGGGCATGGCAGGGGAAGGTTACTGCAAAATCCCCATTACCTACCAATCAGCTGGAACTTGGGAGGCAAAGAATAGATGGGGGCAGGGCCAGTCAGAATTTTTACTACTGGTTCTCCGTACTACTCAAAATTTCTGCTACCGGTTCTCTAGAACTGGTCAGAACCTGCTGAAGCCCACCTCTATTCCTGGTGTGCCTTTCTCTGATTGATTCTCTTCTGGAGATTAGACATTTATTTATTTATTTATTTATTTATTCATTCATTCATTCATTCATTCATTCATTCATTCCATTAAAAAAGAGAGAAGCCGATAAGCGAACCCAGTGAAGGTTGGACTGATAGGAGATGTTTATAGGGCATGTCAA